TCTAGAAACCTTTCTTGACTACCCTACAATTCGAGTACTGAAAATGATTCCACCAACAAAACTTTTGTTACGGCAATGATGATAGGATTAATGATTGTTAAAGTTGAGAAACATTCGCAGTGGTCGGTTATTGGAAGGGTGACTAAAAATATGCTTTCTGCGTGCTTCGGCAACCACGTTAAATCGTTGGTCCCGGCTGCATCTACAGTCGTTAGGACCCACCAATCTACACTGGGCTCGGGTGGTAGGCCATCATGTTCTAATCGCTTATTCCATCCATTGGGAAGATCTGTTCCTCAGCAGGGTACATTAATAGACTGATAATGTTAAATATAAAAAAGTACTACTTAATTGTAGTATGTACGTACCACTAATCTTAGCTGAAAGTCAGATAAAGGTGTTACAATAGGTCCTAGTAATAATACGCTACTGTTTTGTTCAAGACTATCAGGATCAACTGATATTAACTCATCACTTCCATTACTCTTTATTTCATCGTTTATTATCAAAAACATGTGTTCATTAGTCATAATTTTATGATTTTGAGAATTCATATTGATGATTGACTGATAATCATTGATACCTTGATATTTTTTAGTGTACTTAACTGATTTTGTCTTTTTGCAACATAATTTTTTTAACTGTGCGACAAGAACGTCAAAGAGTAATTCTTTCTTTTCGTCGTCTTCGACAGTTTTGTCATCGTTCGCCATTTCTGCCGGGCGACTGTATAACATATTATTAATTTTTTGAAGCGCGTTGTAATTAGGATCTCTATCAATCTTCGTACTGTACGGGTCTACTTGCTTATTTTCAAGTCTAAAAAAGGCAATGTGTGGACGGCCTCTTTCAGTTATAGAACGAAACTTTTTTTCGTTATTGTTTTGATTATAAAAAGGTTTATTTACATCCTTTATTGTATCATCAGTAGGTTCTGGTTTAATTTTCACATTTTGAACATTAGAGTCAAGAGTAAATTTAACAACATCATTCAAATCGTATTCCGTCTTCATGGGCTGCGCATTTAGTAGTTTTACAAGCTCTTCGTCTGATAATTTGGAGAGTAAATATGTAACATCGTTATCTAAAAATAAAAGAATTTATTGCTTAGTACCGATTACATTCTACAAATCGACAATCGACGGTTTTTAGGGTTCCGTAGCCAAATGGCAAAAAACGGAACCATTATGGATTCATCATGTCTGTCTGTCTGTTCTCCCGTATGTCACAGCCACATTTTTCCGAAACTAAGATCTATACTGTTGAAACTTGGTAAGTAGATGTATTCTGTGAACCGCATTAAGATTTTTACGCAAAAATAGATAAAAAAAAAAACAATGAAATTTGGAAGTTCTGCATACTGAGCTGACTGAAACTAAAAAAAAATTTTCGTCAAACCCATACGTATGGGGTATCTATGGACAGGTCTTCAAAAATTATATTGAGGTTTCTGATATTTTTTTTTTCTAAACTGAATAGAGTCCGACTCGCACTTGATCGGTTTTTTTTATTGTTTGTCTCTTACGGTTTTGTCTTGCCTAAGTACCTATCCACTTAGGCAGTACTTAGATACCTATTTGTTCATGATGCTTATTTTCAGATCGCAGCTTTAATTACGACTCCTTTTGAAATAAAAAAGGGCAACCTAAACAATACCTACTACTATTATTTATTACCAAGTTCAAGACAACGTAAGTTTATTTTGTACTTACCACCAGCTTTGATTACTGTAGTTTTAGGCAAAATGTTTTCATTAGGTAAATATCCCTTCGCAGACATTAAATCAGCAACGTCATTTTCTATGCCACTGTTATCCAAAAAATAACTTTTTTTATTTGATTGTATCGACATTGAACTACCAAAATTAAACTAGAAAAGAAAATGATATTTATAAATCATATACCTATCTCTTAGTAGCAATGATTTTCTTTGAGTAAATAATAAATACCAAAAGGAAACCAATTAACATTTTATAAGAAGTGGTTAACATTATGATTATGTACCAAAGCCGAGTAAATGAAAACACAAAGACTAATTTCACGGAAGAATTAATCATTTCCTATCGAACATGAAGTTGCTATCATCTTTGATGTTTTCTCATTTAACAATGAACAACAGCTCGTTAATTTTATGCTTGAGACTACGATAAGGCTCTTGTTGATAAATAAAATGAAACCCAACCCATAAGTTTGTCTTGCAAGATTGATTTGTAGGTAAGGAAGTTTTTAGATTATTATTATTCATTTAAATACGCATAGCTCATTAAAAAAAATACCTGCTTTGCTCGGAGCTTTGTGTAAACGACGGCACTTTACTAACCTAAACCTAAACTTTGGAATCAACTTCCTTACCTACTCCTCTACTTACCTGCCAATACTATTTTTATGATGATGACCTACAAATTTATCGTCAGCAGACTCCTGAAGATTAAAATAATCTGATTGCACTTGTCCAAGACAGCAAGGTCATATACGACTGGAGTTCTAACGACCAGAATTGAACTTGCGCAATCACTCCTTTTGCCTATTCTGGAAGCTTCTGGAGCTCAGAATAACAGGGGCTTCTTTACAGTTAAAGCTGCTCAACTTTGGAAAAAGCTACCGTCTGAAATTTTAGTTCAGGAGTTTAAATTTAAAGTCGCTTCCCATATTTAAAAGTACATAATCTCGTTCTGCTGCAATCTTAGTTCTGCTATTACATTACATTACTGCGAGTCCAATATAATAACGCAGGATTTTGTTCGATCTGCTGCGCTATTGCAGTGCATCGTCTGTTTGCCGAGGTCAATGTCGTATAACTTCAAAACATCATAGGCTGAGGCTGATTGTCTTTTTACGATCATGAGAAAGCGCTGCGCCTCGCTGTGGGCGCCCGTGCGCGTCTACCCCAACAACATCCTCAGCGCACTTATTTAACAACTATCTGACCCACTACTTAGGGGATCACTCTTTGATTAACAAGCGTGGCGAATCGTTGGCTATCAGCCTTGAGTGGCCTTGACATTATTATCAAGGCGTTCGACAGAGTCTGGCACAAAAGCCTTCTCTCCAAGCTTCTGGCATACAGTCTGCCGGCCCAGTTCTGTTCCTGGGTAGCTGACTTCCTCCATGAGCGTCAGGGCTTCGTCCTATCCCCCACTCTCTGTCAGCTGCATATCAATGACCTAATTCCTCTTGGGAATATTCATTGCTATGCAGACAATAGTACAGTGCATGTAGGTTATCTCGGGCAAGCAGCGGCTGGACAGGCGGTAACCAAGGAGAAACGGGGAAATTTTGTCATTGAACTGAATCAGGCTTTGGACCATATTTCTGAATGGGGTACTAAGAAATTGGTCGAGTTCAATGCAAAGAAAACCCAGGTCTGCGCTTTCACGGCAAAAACGGCGCTATTCCTTTCATGCCCTTCTCTTCCGGGCACAACACTGGAGCTAGAGAGCAGTATCACCATGCTCGGTATGGAAATTAGCCTTGACTTAAATCCAAAGAATTACATCGAAAACGTAGTAAAAACGGCCTCACGCAAACTCGGAGTCCTGAACACTGTGCTTGTTGTATAAGACGCAGGTGCGATCTTGCGTGGAATATTGCTCGCACCTCTGGGATGGCTCCACTAAGTACTTGCTCGATGCTTTGGATAGGTTACAGCGGCGCGTGAACAATATCATAGGCGATGAAGAGGTGACTATACACCTCGGTCTCTTCAATAACGCCGTGACGTGGCGTCACTAAGCGCATTCTATCGTCTGTACCACGGCGAGTATTCTGAGGAGTTATTTTCTCTTATTCCACCTTCCCCTTTCCTTCAGAGGACCAAGCGCGCTGGCCTACATTCATCGGCTAACTGTGACCACAATTCCAACGCGTAGAACTCATTTCTTTGTCGCACTATCCGGAAATGGAATGCTCTGCCTGCTCACGTGTCCCTCCTTCTTACAGTACAAATACAAATTCTTTATTTGATACAATAATTTACTATCGATTGAAAATTTCTTTTAAGTAATATACTTGTATTAGAAATTCTCGCTCTCCGTGCTAAACATTATTTCTTTAAGTCGATATGTTTGCCTATGCGTATGCATGCTTGTATGTGGGTGTATGAGTGTGTGCGTATACTTGTGTATTTGTGTCTGAACTATTATTACAACCCAACTAGTATTTTTACAACCTGGGATCCTTACGTGAAGAAGTAACATGCAGGCCGGCAAGGTGAGGACGGCTGGTGTAGCAGGTAGAACTGCTGTACCAGCTATCTTCACGTCTGGACTTCACCGTCAATTAACTTCAGGAGGGGTGGAGTCATTTGTAGGACCAATCTATAAAAAAAATAAGGTGCTGCGAAAGGAGATTTTTCGTGGTGAACGCACACGCTTGTGTCTTTGCTGGGTTAAACGAGATAAAATTTTGTCGGCCCTTATTTGAGGCTTGATTCAGTAATGTCTTAATCTGACATAAGATCTTTCTCTACACTCCTCTACTTAGTTACCAACATATCATTGATATACAAAATAAACAGCGTGGGCGACAGAACTGTTCTTGTGGGACGACTCAGTATTTAAGGGTTGTGTCAGAAGATTTTTATTATTTTAAAGACATTAAGATTGACGGAATAATATACGGCCCAATATATGGAATTTTTAAACCTGGGGGCCAATCTCCTAACGGAAATGCTTTGGAAAACGCTAACGCTTACGATTTTATTTTGTTATTCCTAGCCGCCTGAGGTATTCAAATGCCTCGCGCTCTTTCTTTTTCTTCTGCATTGGTAATAACAATATTAAACAAAATGAGCGTGAGGTATTCGAAAACCTCAGGCGGCTAGAAATAACAATATAAAATCCTAAGCGTTAGCGTTTCCCAAAGCATTTCCTTTAGGCGATTGGCCCCCAGGATTACAAATTAAACTCCGCCCGAACGCCCGGCCCTTTAAACTAGGACAAATCCGAGGAAACCCGGACGGATGGCAACCCTACCTACAACTGACAGTCACTGTCAATCAATGTCATTATAAACCTTTGTTTTTATTGTACGCTGTACGAATGCGCTTGTGTTAATTTAATAAACAAGCCCTCGCGCAACAAACCTATTATAGACAAAAAAATTGGACACAAACACCAGAAATAGCCAAATCCTGAGGGACCCATCACCGAATGAAGAAATCAATCAATCATGTAACAGACATGTGTTATGATAAGTAGTAAGTAGAGCACGGACCTGGTAGTAGAGTAGTTAACTCAAACAAATAACATATTAAGAAGAAGAAAGAGAATAAAATCTTAATTATTTAAAAAGTCTCTGTAAATAGACGACGACCTCCGTGGCCGAGTGGTTTTTACGTGGTGTCGCCGACTCGAGAGGTCCTGGGTTCAAATCCCGGTGGGGGCAGATGTTTGTGTGATGAATACGAGCATTTGTACTCTAGTCATGGATGTTTAATATGTATTACTATAAAAAAAATATACTTATATGTATTCTATCCGTTACCCTAGTATCCCATAACACAAGCTTAATAGTGCTTACTTTGGGGCTAGGCTAATTGGTGTGAGTGTTGGAAATATTTATTTATTTATAGGTAAGGCACTTATTGCGTATTATAGGTTTTTATAAACACTGACATATTATTGACAATGATTGTAAACTGCTACAATCATTGTAAACATAACATTAAAATCTCACTCAATTTTATTGGTAATTAATGAACTGATTTATTTACTTATTACCTAACTTCAAAATTTTAAATCAGGCTAATTTTTCAAAGGGATAAAAAGTATCTTTAACAATATTTTTTATTTGCCCTTCATACCAAATTCTGCATGTAAGAATGCTTCTTATTTTAAGTTTGGTTTGAGAAAGAAACAGTACTTAATTCCATTAGCTGTGGTTGAATTTCGGGGTAGTTTTGATAAAAGATTTTAGGCGGAAATGCATGTTTTTTATTTAAAACGAGTTTTAATTGTTTCCTCCAAAAAAGATTTTGTGTGTGTGTTTCTAATAATTAATACTTTGCGTGAAAAAAAAAGCTCGCTACTCATACACAGCTAATGGAAAGCTGAGCCAAAGAAACATTCAAAGTTTACTCAAAAGAAAATAAGAAGGATGTGAACATATTGCAAATAATTTGTGGATGGTATACTTGTTACCCACCTGATTTCATAATTATACAAAATTATTTGACAAATGTTTTAGACAGTTAGATCTAGATAATAGTGCTGCGCAGCACTGGTCAAATGCGGTCTGACCTTAAGACTTACTAATTACTGTTTTTAAATTATTTCTATTCAAATCTTTTTCAGATTATTCAGGAGTCTTGAAAATCACACATACTCTTAAGATAAATCATTTGAAATATAACACAAATTGAGTGTAAGATTCTTGAGAAATATATAAATGGTCTATACTGAAGGAAAGGGATTATTTATGAAGACAATTTTGTAATCCACTGCACAAAATGAATATTCCTTTCCCAGTTTTAACACCACGTCTAATAGATTCAAAGTGGTTTAATGCTGATAGCCCTTGTGATGAGGAAGCAGAATTAACAGCATTGGAACAAGCTAATCAACATTGGGTAAGTCATCTAAAAGATCTTAATCTAATGCATTATTATTATTGAAGTTATACTTCTTTAGGCGCATTATGAAAAAATGATGAGAGTGAAATTTTAAGATGCGCGCGCATCACTGTAACACAAAAATTAACAGCATGAAGTTGGTCGCTTTAGCGACCAACTTCATGCTGTTACTTTTGTGTTTACCACACATTAAGAAAATCTACCAACAAAATAGAAGTAGAATCTCCATTTAGGTGGGTGCTAACGACTGCATTGTGAAGGCCTATCAAAAGTATTTATTAATCTGGAACAACGGAACCAAAGCGCGATTCAGGAGACTACAGCGCCATCTCTTGACCATTGGTGTAGTAGAACCAAAAACCACATCTTTATTTTTTGTAATAAAGTAACAGTTATAGGTATTCATATTTATAATATTTATCCACATGTTTCTAGTTGTATTATTCGGAATACGTGTTTGAGTTTCATACAAGTGCAATTCACATATGTTCTAATAAATTATATTCAGTAGCGATTTTAATTGAATATTTTGATTATTTATTTATTTTTTCAAATTAAAACTGAACTTTATTGACTGTGTCCTTTTCCAGACTTTTTATTAATTTATTGTAATTAATTATTTGCATGCAATTAAAAACTAATTTTAAACGATGCCAAAGAAGGATAACTTCTCACGCGCCTACATAAGTACACGCACCCATTTTTTTTATACAATTTTACCAAGAAAGGGAAACATTTTATTAAAAGAAAGAGGGTTAAGTGATAGAATTATTACATTTTTACATTCATCATCAGCCTATTAATGTCCCTACTGCTGGGGCACAGGCCATCCCTATGGATGGAATAGGGAGATTGGGCCATGAGCCACCACGCAGGCCCAGTGCGGATTTGGCGGGTGTTAACAACTGCAGATGCAGCCGGGACCAACGGCTTAACATTAACATGCCTTCCGAAGCACAGACAAGATTTTTACATTATTGATGTCTATATATTGGCTTTATTCTCTATGATTAAAATAATCTTGACTACAGTGTATTCTTGTCATTCTCTATACAGAACGAAAATAATATATCAGAATCGACACCATTCATGCACAATTCAAACGAACACAATAACAAACCCACTAAAATTAAAAGAGAAAACTTAGTTTTTGCTGAAATTAAAAAATTAATTTAATGCTTAAGCTAAAGAAAGATTTACTAGAAAAAATTCCACGCGGTCCAGGCAGCAGACAGGTCTCGAAACCTCATCCTCTGCTACCTGGGCTAATGCACTGACCAATTATTTTATCGTGACCTTAATGACCGTGTCGAATTTCTTCTAGCATTTATTAGACTGCAAGGCAGTGCCATCTCTTTGCATTCTAGGACAATATTCCTAGACTGTGTGGAGTTTTTTCTAGTAAAATTTTCTTTAGATTATAATATCTAGCAATTTAATGCTTAAAATAAAAATATAATAATGTAAAATCATCAACTTACGGAGTGGCTGCCTACCCCAGTAGTAGTAGTAGTAGAGACTGGCATAGCACCAACTCAAAATGTTTTCAGAGTTGTTTTGAATGCTAGATTTTCATTAGATATTCTTTTACCTTGCCAGCTAAGCTCAATTGGTCAACAATATATGAAGAGGGCCCCTCTAGGGAAAACTGACCCTGAGCCAATGGAAGAAGAGGCAGACACAGATGAAGAAGAAGGTAAATTTATTGAGGAAATATTAACTCTTAAATTGATGATCATCTCCAAAATCAACAGATTTTATATTGAACTCACATGCAGCTCAAAGACATAAATAAGCCTTTAAATTGAATGAAAAGTAGTGTTGTCAAATGGAATCCTATTAATATGCCTCTGCTACTTGTCTGTTAGAAGAAACAATCTCGGGCTCCCTTGAACGGAAAACGTAGCTACGCCATTTCATAGAAAATGTGCTTGCTTTTACAACAAATAATGATAATAAAATAAAAAACTAAAGTGGGTAATTTAATCTATACAAAAGAATTTATTGGCGTTTTTTTAAATTCCTTAAAAGATGGTAAGGAGGTTAAAGCTTTGACTTGCTTGCCTGACCAAAAACTGATGCATGCATTATAAAATCTGACTTATTCTTCATACACTCATTTTTATTCTACTGAATCTTATATTAATTCCGATCCTATCTCATAATTATCTTAGCTTCCTCCTCTCCTTAATCCTGCTTTCTCTCAATCTCTCTTTCAACTTTGCATCCCCCACACTCCTTTCTTTTATTGCTCCATTCTTTCCCCTGGCAGTATCCTTAGCAGCCTTTGGCAGGTAGGTTGTCTTACCAACTCACTCTACGATGACTCATTAAATCAACTAGCCAAACACACACAACAACCAAATGGAAAAAATAAAATTTAAAACAAATTTCTGTGGTATTATGAAAACTTGATTGAAGTAAAAAAATTTAAAGTTTTTTACATTATCTCAATTTTATTTCGAGTTTTACACATTTAATTGAAAATTTTATCCAAAATAAATGCGTGCGACTTTCGCAATGTTCGGTCATTGGATGAGTGACCAAAAACTTATAATCTCAAGCTCCTCCGTGCTTTGAAAGGTACGTTGAGCAGTTGGTTCCAGCTGCATCTCCAGTTGTTAGCACCCATCAATGCGCGCTGTGCCCGCGTGGTGAGTCATGGCCCAATCTCCCTATTTCATTCATAGGGAAGGCCTGGCTCCTGTGGTGACACTCGGTAATTGATACAAAATGAAAATAAAAGTCCTTACTCAGCTTGGAATCGAAATCTGGTCACCCGTTACCTACGTGGTAGGCGAGTTTTGTACCACTGAACCACCGTTGCTTGTTGATAAAGCTTAAAGTACAATGGGCAAAACGCACCCAGCTCCGCCAACAATGTAATCAGTATGAATCGATAGATCTATGAAAAACAAGCCTTTTTTATTATGACACCGAAAATAAATATCCTGGGAGTCAAAAGATATGACACCGTAAAAAATATCCTGGTAGTCAATAGATATGACACATGGGCATATTTAAGTAGCCAAATAAATTCATTTTATATTATTAGTAATCGTAATAATATGCCATATCGTACTATACAACCAGATATACGACAAAGCCTGTCGACCATCCTGCGCTTGCTCTTACTGAGACATTTCAAAACGGTTTACGGATGATGAAGGACTTGCAGTTGCAAATAGTCGACTCGTCTTACTTCGTTGTGATTGTGCGCTCCCTGCTACTTAATTGATTTTTATCTAACACGCTTTGGATATTGGAACACGATTATCGGTTTTGTCAATTAGTATGGATGAACTGGAATTATGTGTTCTCCGAAGCGTGGACACGTTTGTGTAATCTGTGGTCGCTCCGTTTTACATATTATCTTCTATGTAAAACGGACAATTTACTATAACGAACAGAATGTTTAAAAAAAACCCAATCGATGCGGGGATGTTTGGATAAACTCTAGCGCGGCAGAATAATATAAAGGGGCACCCTTGCACCTTGTGAAGTACTCCCATAATTCCTGAGCATCTTAGGTAGAGTCGAACTAACTAACTAAATTAATTCCCTTGTTTCATTAATGTTCGTTCATTATAGTACTTGTACATATTTAACTTTAAATAACTAAAAATCTTGCGGATGGAATTTGCTTGAATGCACTTTGGCGCAGATGATCTTGACTATAATACCTTTCAAACAAATGTAGTTTAAGCCGTGGCGGACGTGAGTGCAGCGTCCATACATTTTTGCCCAATGTCCTTTCTCTCAAGCTTCATGCAAACTCGAATGTAAATCCAATCCCAACTGCTTTAAGAGTACTAGTGTGAAGCTTCATTTACCCACAATTAACTAGGTAGTGCATAAGCAGGGGCGTATTTAAAATCTGGCGCCCTCATGTAAGATTTTTATTCTCCCCCCCCCCCCCTACTTCTGTCATGTTCGGTCTCGTGCTGTCCTCAGTTGTTCGGGAAACTTTTTGTTTACGTTACTTATAATCCATCGTGTGCATTATTTGTCTAAGCGATCTACACTCGCGAGCAACCAAATCTACTCAAGCGCTACTTCTGCATTCAAACATTGTTTTAAGTAAAAGTATACAACATTTTTATTAAAAATGATATGTCATTTGAAAGCTTGAATCTTCAGCTTTATTATTGGTGTCTGAACTTAAATGGGGGAAAAATGGGATTATGGATAAAGGAGTTGTGTTCAGAATTGACACAAATAAAACACGTATTTTTCTTAAGAAGTATAAAATTTATTGGTTCAGTATTTGGTATTAAAAAAAATGGGAAAATCGCCCTCCCGGTGAGGGTTGAAGGGTCACGGGGGTTTTTATAGGGGTAGAGGGTAGCGCAACTCGCAGGTAGCGTAGTGAGTAATTTGTCCCATACGCCCTAATTGCGCAAATGAACATGTTGGTACTCGTTTCATTAATGATTTTGATGTTTTTTTTAAAGCTTAGGTTTCAAGCTTTCAAATGACATTTTATTTAAATGTTGTATTCCTTTACTTATAACAATGTTTGAATGATGAGGTAGCGCTTGAGTCCATTTGGTTGCTCGCGAGTGTATTTCGGCAGACAAAAGTCCCTTGTCTGCGCAGGCTAAAAATATCAATTCATGATTTTTATTGTAGTACAAAATGACGCACGTTTCTTTCCCGAAATAAGTATATAATGTATACCCACTGCACAAATCGCCACAACCTCCTCGTGCGACATTTCTACAAGTACTGACTAATAAAGCCGTAAATAGTTGCGCGTCGTGTCGTGTTCCGCAACATTTTGCTGTATTTGACCCGAAAATGATAGAAAATAGGAATTGTATTAGTAATGGAACAGTATGATAAATGTGGAAAAGAAGGAAATAATAATTTAGAATTAAAGAAAGAACATAATGGGGAGCAACTGCAAAAAAAATAGCCTGTAATGTAGTCGTAGCTTTATCCTCAGAGTCCCAATCCACTTGGCAAGGTTTAAATTTTAAGTTGGTTAACATACTGAGCGTTTTTTTCGAGCTGGCTGTCCCCCTTCCCCGCCCTATATCCCGACCCTATTAGTCGTTCCTATTGGTCGATGGTACCAGTTCATGTGCCTGTGATTGGCCTGTACGTCATTTTGTAACGATCATCGACGGACAACTCGAAGCGAGCCGGGAGTATAGTGTACTTACTTTCGCTATGGATATTTTTAAATGGGAAATGTAAAATGAATTTACGTAAGAAATAGATTCTCGTCTGTTGAGCCAATTTGCGTAACGTTGACGCCTTTGTGGATTACGGTTACATTTTACTTTGCTGTAAAAAATCATTTTTTTCAGGCAATGATGAATCGGATGAATCGGAAGAATCTCACGATGAAGACGAAGAAGAAGAACTTCGCACATCGTATTCACCTGCCAGAAATAACAATGAATTAGAACCTGACAGCTTAGATGACTTGAATGATGCTCCTGAACTAAACACTTCTGATCAAAGTGCATTATATTAATGTATAAAATTAGGCATTTAATTTAATAAAAAACACTAAAAGGTTAAGCTGTGTATAAATGAACTTAAATCCTCAGCCTATATGTAGATATGTAAACTTTGTTATGACAGGAAAATATTAGATATAATGCAAGACCGGTACAAGGCAAGAATGGGGAACAGATAAAGAATAGTTGAGAGAAAAAGAGAGGAAGGAAGTAGCGAAGCAGTCAAGTTAACTAAACATCCCGGTAATTGGATCTAACGTGCCGAAAGCTTTTAATCCTTTCGGCACGTTAGGTCCCATTACCGGGATGTCCTGTCGGTTCATTAGGTCTGTTTCCCTAAACGTCCACTTCCCTGCAGGTTAGTTATATAGGGTGCCTAAACGCCCTTAAAAGTGCTCAGCCTTAATATAGAGAGGCTAACTCTAGGCGTAGGTTTATAAGTTAAAATTATATTATTATTATAATGCGATTCAAATAAGAATAGGAAAGCCAATGACCTCTATCTGTCAAATGTCGTTGAAAAAGTACGGTTTGCATAAAAACATCTTGGAATTAGCACTCCGCTAATTCAAGAATAAAAACCAAACGTTTGTAAACAAACAATAACAAATATTGATAATTAATATCGGTTGATATATTTTTTTCACTTATTGGCTTTGGGCATGAATGGTTGATAACCTAAATCGCCAAACAAATGTCACTTTAAGTTGCGTTCAGAAACTCTATTTTAAACTTTCGTTTACATAAAAGATGCATGTTCGTATGTGACCTAGTAATAGTTCATGATTATTCATAACGGCGGTAATGCAGAGATGAGCAGAATAGAAGAGCTAGATTCTGATTGTTTTTTCTCAGTCTTAATAAACAAATATTATTAAAAAAGGGTGTTTTTTTTGTCAATCTTATTAAATAAATGTTCTTAAAAAAATCTGATGCTTTTTCTCACTTAATCTTAGAAAATAAGTTTTATTAAATAAAACCCTTTTTTTTGCTCACTCTACCAATTTGATTTGAATTGACAGCTATGACATCACAATATGGCGCCCTGTCGGTCCTATTCTTAAATCGCATATATACTCAATCAAATATAGAAATAACACAAAATAAACTGCGCTTTGTAAGAGAATCCAGTTAGACAAAAAATACAATGAAGTAAAATTAAAAATGGGGATATAGACACCATATAGTTTTTTAAAAGAATTATTTGATACTGGCAAAATATAGTTAATCACATTAATATGTATTCATCATTAATACATCGTAATGAATGTTGATTGAGTTAAAGTCGGTGTAAATGGTTTTTCTTTCTTTTAAATGAGTTTTTTGTTTAATAATGAAGTAATAAGGCAATACAATATTTTGTTATTTGATTAGTAAGTACATACAGGTGTGAACAATTTACTTCTTTCCTTAAAAACCTACATCCGTAAGATAACGACAATCTTAATAACCCTTTAGGAACATTCGTCAAGTAAACGATGTTCGGGTAAGTGGACATTCAGGGAAGTGGACGTTCAGAGAAGTAGACCTTATAAACCCACTGGACATTCCGGTAATAGGACCCCTTTTTCTTTTTTTTTTAACGTCAAGAAAATGCGTTAATCCTACCCCACCGCCTTGGGAGTGCGGCGAAGTTATGTGGGACTCGTCCCCTCCTCTCGCCCACCCGCTCAGCCAATCCGAAGAAGAAGGGGGCTGTACCCACTAAAAACCTGACGATGCCCCTCACCACCTCACCGATGGGCCGTCACCTCGTCGGGCGCAAGGTCCGCCACCAGGCGGCACCCCGCCCTGCAAGGCAAAGGCACTGGGTGAGGCCACGGGAACCCTTAAGGTTAGTTCCGCGACCTCACCAGTGGTAACAGGACCTCTAGCGTCGGTAACGTGCCGAAAGGATTTGAATAATTATTTTCCCTCCAGCTCCATCCACAGCAAAGTGAAACTTGCACAATAATCCACTTTAAATCAGAATAAAAAATCGCAATACACATTTGTACAAAAATAAAACATATTCATTTTAAAATAAATATTATTTACATTACAATTTTTAATCACAATTCAAATACAGCTTATGATGCTGAGATGGCATCGCAGATACCTAATTCTTATTCTATTCAAATCCTAACACAATTAATTAGTGCCTATAAATTTTAGCATTAACTAGTAACAAAATTGGATTAAAGCTTGATCAATTCAATAATATTAAAATACTTAGACAAGTTATTAACTATCGCATACACGCCATATCTACCAATCAGTTTAGAAAGGAGATATGGAACCAAAAGCAGTGTAATGTGACTTGTATGTCACAGTTTTATTTTAAATTGGCAACCTTTTATCAGTACAGCCACTTTAAAAGCACTGGAGAATTTAATTTAATCTCGTGACGTGACGTGTCATATTCGATTGCTATTGAAAGGAATTAACATCATCCACTGTTATAAAAATAAAAAAAACATTGCTGAGTGTAGCCGTTGTTACAAATAGGAGAGTATCAAGTGCTTCCGCCAACTATTGCGATAATCTTTCCAATGTGTAAAAACTTATTAGAAGGAAGGATTCTCGACAACTTCTTTAATACTTTTTACAATAAAAAAATCTATCTTCCTTCTCGAAGTCGAGTTTCTGCACTGGTAGAACAGTAGATACCTCTTTACATAGGTAAGGTAGGTATGCCAAAACTTTTTTAATTAGTAGATTACATTACAACAAATCATGAAATGCCATTTAGATCGATAACCACATTAACAACCCTCGCCAATAATGGTTTGATGTTATCTCTGGGTACAGTGTTCCATTTTTCTGCAAGACATTTTTCTATGTTCATATAAATTGATTTTTGATTGCCTGAAAAATTTTGAATTATTTAATACTAGCAGACCTGACAAACGTCTTTCCGCCCCATAAAAATTTAAAACATATTAAACCCTACTTACTGTAGTAGGGTTTAATATGTTTTTTAACTTTTTTAAAATTTTCCAAGTTTCTGTGCAATTTGTGGTTTTTCCGAAAAGAACTTTCCATAACATATTAAAAAAAAATTAAAATAAATATGTGAATAAAATCGATAGTTGCCCTTAAGTTATGGGTTGGCTAGGATTCATCCATACTTAAGTAAGACGAAATAAGTATATGAAAGTGTGTCTCTCAATCTGTCCGTTACCCCTTCACGATTAAACCGCTGAATCGATTTAGATGTAATTTTTCATAGAGATAGTATTGAGTTTGGAACTTGACATCATGCAGTCTCTCCTTTTTATTCCCTATCTATAGAGTAAGACAAAGACAGCGCTCTGTCGAAATAACACATAGCCATGTGAAGTGCTAGCATCTTAACCAGCGCTCTGCAATCAACAATACCATTACAGTAATGTTGATCATTGACTGGGCTGCCACTTGCGCAAATTTCACGGCCGCCAATAAATCAATCATCAAATATTAAAGGTGTTAATGTTTCTCAGTCTACTAAAACCATTATTATTACATATTTACCTGTACATCTTTCCAAGTTGAGCGTGAAAAATATCGCAGCCTTGGACACAAGAGGATTATACTCGTCGCAGAAATAATGAAAAGCCATGGCAAGACTCGACGGTATCATGTCAATATCTTTTATGAGCAATACTCCAGTTTTAGCAACTTCGTTTCTGTATGTGTTCATCAGCTCGCTGTGCGTTTTCATCTTTAGTTTCGTACTTTGCACTATGGTTGGATGGGCGGATCTACTACTATTGCCTGAAAAAAAATAACAACTAACTATTTAATTAGGTTTTTTCTTAGAATCTATGGAATTCAACAACATAAGTAGTAACAACGACAATGACCTCCGTAGCCGAATGGTCTGTACGCCGGGTTTCAAGGTGTCACCTACTCGAGAAGTCTCAGGTTGGAATGCCGGTGGGGGCAGATGTTTGTGTGATGAATACGAGCATTTGTACTCCAATCATGGTTATTTTATATGTATTCTTATATAAATATACTTATTTAAATATCAGTATATATATTGTATCCGTTACCTTAGTATCCCATAACACAAGCCTATAGTGCTTACTTTTTTGGGGCTAGGCTAATTGGTGTGAGAATTGGAAATATTTATTTATTTAACAACAACATAATCAGAGTGAAATACAGTCTTCTACATGGAATTAAACAACAAAGTTATCAATGGTAGCTTCAAACAGTCGGTGTATGTATCACTGGCTAACTGCTCGAGCATTCTGGTCGCCTTGAGGCAGGATTTCAACCATTATTAGGCGCCTTTGAGGTGTAGCTATGGGTTCTGACAGGTGATGCTGCATATTATACGCGCTATCAAATAGTGAGATAAATAAGTATCTTAAAACAATCTTACGCAAATATTTGGCAGCAGTTATGGCGATATCTTCTATGAAATTATTAAATTGAAATGGATCAAATTTCACAAATCTCTCGTTATAGACAAATATAAAAGAGCCACTGTCGTTCCTTTTTGATATCGTTGATAAACCTGTAAATAAACAAACACACTAAGGCTTCGTTGAAAGTTGAAGCTTTCACTTCTTCAGCGATAGCAAGACATAAGACTAATTTTTACACGCCTTGATAAATCAGCAATCCACATAAACCACGCAAAAAACGGATCATTTTACAATCTCGGCAAGGCATGAGTGTGTAGCGATGAGCTTATCTAAAATGTAGTAAATATTTCTTGTGGCACGTGCAGTTCATACGGTATCTAGGCGTGTATATAATCAAAGACATTGCGTCTCTGATATACATTAAATTTAATTGACGTCCAACGTCATTTTTCGAATCCAGTATTTCATATGGTTGACCAAATAATGAACATCTGAAGATTTCCTAAAAATGTTCACTGTAAAAGAAGATCAATGAACGGGCATTGGTGGGTGGAGCGATATAGGTATTGTAGGAGCACACGATGTATTGTGACGCAAGCGGAACGCACGAACGACTAGCGAGAAAGTATTCATAAAACCATGTCAAATTTATTAAGATCGTCCGCTGCCTTAAGCGGGAGCACGGAGCGCGTTATATTTTTTTCAGGTTAATATTGTATAGCCTATGATCAAATAGCGTATGTGGGCATTTTATTGGTAAAGGAATTTTCAAAATCGGTTCAGCAGATCCAGAGATTACCCCTCAAAAAGGGTACCTACTGTAAAAATTTGTATGGAGGGTTGTAGTTAGTCTCTGGCAGACTCCTTATTTTTATTACATGTAATATACTTAATTGTAAATTGTTTGACAAAAATTTTGAATTTATTTTTGCCCCTTTTTTTTAATAATTATATAATTATTATAATATTTCATAATAATTGATTGGTAAATGGCAAGTTTAATTATCTATTTTTTGTTGCCAAAGCATCAAATGTATTATTTTATTTCAAGAAGAATCAATCATAAATTGGTATCTTAAGTTTACCATAAAATCAATATCATGGATGCTGGACTGATTGACATTTAACATAGTAATTGAGAAATTTCAACCAGTCCAGTTTAGACGTAAAATATGACGTGACTAATTTAATTATTCAAACATGATTTAAAATTGATCGGGGATAATTTTTTATTTTATGTTATTTGGAAAATTTCCAGACAAATAACAAAGTATATTAAAACTATGATCAGTCACATGCTAATAATAAATTTCCACATATAACGAATGTAAAATAAGCTTTCAAATTGATATTATTTTTCAATGCTGTCGGACACCAACTACCACTTTTGGACTGTCTCCTTTACGTCTTTATAATATTAAGTATAGATTTGGGCTAAAAGTATTCTTTTCAGTTCCCAAAAATGTTTTTTATTTGCCAATGTGGGTTTTTGCACTAAATCCTACTAATATTATAAATGTTAAAGTTTGTTTTTTTTCTTACACAAAATCACATTAAAACAGCTGAACGGATTTGGATGTAATTTTACAAACAGACAGCTTATAACCTGGAGAGAGACATAGGATACTTATTATCACAGAAAAATGTTATTTTCCTGTGAGATTGGAAACTTGGCCACTTATATAATCTAAAGACAAAAGTAATAATATAATTTTCTTACCTGTTTGTAATTCTAAAAGGGAGTGTTCACTGATTTGATATTTATCTCCTAGGTCACTAATTTCTTGATAAAACTTAGATTCATCATACACATTTGTGTCTTCATCTTGAGGTTTATATAAATATATACCACCATAAATAGCTGCTACTAAAGTGACGAGACCACAGATTGGAAGCAAAACATTTTGAAACTTTCTATTTTTCTGCTTAGTTTGTTCTTTATAACTAAATTCTTGATTGGGCTGCAAATATCTTTCATCTAAGCTACTGTGTAAGTACTTATTGCTTTTCTTTCTTGTTTTTGTTGGAGATAATGAAGAATCATTGTGTACTTTGTAGAAATCACTAGGTAATGACTGATGTGCAAATCCATCGCTGCAATAATATGATGGCATATTTGCAGGTAAAGACTTTGCAAGCAAGTTGCTGCAATAAAATACATTACCAGCTCATCTTTGGTTAAAAATAATTTTGAATAAAAGTAGGTACTTCATGATTTTTATTCATGTGGAAAATAAATTCACCCATCAGTGATTGCCACAAAAAGAAACAAATATGAAAAAAAAAAGGGAATCGAGACTAGTATAAATTTTTTAAAGCAAAGCACTTTGCAAATAAACCATTAAAAAACCACAGCTTTTGTTTTACAATCAACAATTTTTCTTTTTTGACTCTACTACTGACACTGTTCCTCATGGGCTGTCTGGGTCCCTTTACATTATCACAGACCATGGGCAGCCACTATTTCTATATTTTCAGTATAACCCATTACTTTCCATTATCACAAAATAAATACATGTCAGTATTGTGATTGGTAACATTTTATTAAACATTACCATAAATAAGTGAAACATAGGGAATGAATATATCTAATGCCAATAAGGTAAAACAATAAAAATCTAGACTGTAGTAAAAATCTTGAAATGTGTTCTGTCTCCCTGTCTTTTAGCATGTACAAGTGTGAGACTAGTCAACCCACTCTGATTTGATGTAAAATTGAGTTTAATGGATTTGGTGTCTATTTTTTTTTAAATAATAGTAAATAGCAATAATAAAATAAAATACTGTTATCCATTTATGTTCTCTTCAGTTAAATAGCAATTATAAAATAAAATATTAATATCCATTTATGTTCTCTTCAGTTAAACAATATTGTTTTCACATTTTCTACTCTATCACTAATTATATTGTGATAATATGAAACAGGCGCAATAAGTGCACCCCATGCAACCTGGTCAAATTTGCAGAAAATAAAGAAGGTTCATAAGTCAAATTAAATTTAATGAGCATTTATTATCAAGCCTGTTAAATATTATAGTTATAATTTGGAACAATATTTTAAAAGTGTATTTAATTTACCTTTATCACTTTAGGTGGTATAATTTTCCTCATTGAACAAAAAGGACGTACTATAATTATAATGTGCAATATTTATTCATTAAAAGCATTATGATAGAATTGCATTTGAATATTTACTAATTTTAAGAGAATATTACAAATGAGATGGTAATGTTGATGTGATGAGAAAAGCTATTTATGTATTTGTTACAGGCCATGAACAGAAACATTAGTCAAACAGCAAATTTGATGATATAATAGCTTTTTGAGCTACTAACCTGTCAGAGTCATTTTCAAAGTCATCATCATCGGGTGCACTGAGAGAGTTTCTTCTTCTGTTTTTACTTACACAGAGTGGAGAAGATTGTCGAGCAAACTTACTGAAAAATATAATCATAAAAACTTACTTTTTTCATATACTTGTCCATATTACAGTATTAAAGACATTAACAATTATCAAATAATACTAATTTTATAAACTTCTGTTTCTACACTTCGCATAACCCATAATTTTTTGTATTTGTATTTGAAAGGTAGCATTACTATTGATAAGGTCTTACAAAAGTACGTACCTCATAACATTATCAACTTCATCAACTCCTTGGTCCTGGCTTGGCTGGCTGGATGATTCTATGCGTTGCTGCTCGCGTCGTTTTTTCAGTCCATAATGACCCATCTTATGGTTACACTCCGCAAAAATACAATTCTCGTGATTATGAATGCTTTTTCTAGCAGATGGTTCGTATGGAGGCCCCCCTGTCTATATAAAAATCCACGAGAATAAATCAATCAAAACTTTATAAATTTATCAACACACCAACACATGCATTATAAACTCACCCCCAAAACGATTTGATCACTCATCAGTTTCCTTTCTCTCAGATTTTTAATAAGATTGCGCATTCAATTTCATTCGCATATTTAGTGATTCACTTCACATAATTGCATTGAGTTTAGAATAATATTAATCTCATGTCGTTCCTTTTCTCTAATAGTTTCATAGTTTAACCTGACATTTTTTTTTGTTGAAGTTCTCCCGTTTTAGGGAAGGCAAAGGGAAGAATGCCCATACAGCCTGGTCTTTAATTAAATTGATCTTCTTTTTGTTTTTACATTTGAATGTCGGTGTGACGCATTCTAATGTTTCTTGGAGTGTTTGGCACGAAATGTATCGAGTTGGCTTTTTCGATAAGCTTCTGTAAGGTAGTCAACACTACAATAAAATTCTCACGTCCACTTGACCGAAACAGCGTATATTTTAATGATTCTACTAATTCTTCAGTAACGCAGACAGTTGTTACACAAAACCACACCAATTTTATTTCACAATATCCACTATGAACGATTAAGAATAAATGACGCCAACCGCACTCGATGAAATCCCGCCAAAAACTGACATTTTTTTTCTTATTCTGTCATTTTTTTTTTAATTTATTCATGACCTGGATACAGAGTTCTTCAGTCGGATACATTGTGGGATACAAAATATTTTTAAATTAGAACATAGGTAGATATGTGTTCTTCATTATTCTGACATGATTGATTAGTGTTTCCAGTAAGCCATTTTGCCGTCCCCCCAAAACTTACCGGAAATCCCCCCAAAATACAGGTTTTTGAAGAAAAAAAAATTCGGTTGTCTGTAAAGTCGGTTTACTGACGACAGTTAAACGTTACAACGTTTTTTTACAATGTACTGTGCAATGTACATAGTTTTTACAAGTATGAATGAGCACTTTTCACTGCACTTCATACTTGACGAAAACATGTAAATCTTTTATTGTATAGCAGTTGTCCTCGTGGACGCATCGCTTAGAATTTAGGAGAGAGACAGATGTCGAAAACTCTGCCAAACGCGGAGGCCGATTGTGCCTCTTTGCCGCTTGCACTTCAAGCCTTAAATGGAACTCCTCAGAGAACGGTAACGCCGCATATGTCATGTTTTTTCGTACGTGCAGCCGGCTCCATCGAATTATAAGACGTTGTCACGTCAAAAGCCCCCCAACATGCAAAATATTTATTAAAAATACAATATTTACTACAAAGTATGTATTTTTGCAACAGTATCCATTACTGGATCAACAGCTTCGCACGCGTCGACTTTCCCACTCCTTAGTTAATCTTCTTACATAACTTTGTTTAAATAATGCCATTATTTTACCAAGGTGCAAATTAAAAGGACAAATTACCAAATTGCGACTTAACAAAGCAAAGATGATAGATTCTGGGCCCAATTCTGGCGTGATTCTCTAAACTTAAAACAAAATTTAACATCAGTCTCTCCTTTTCATTCCGTGTAGAAAATGACAAGGATGTACTGCTGTCAAATTTAAGTTTAGGTTTAGAGAATCATGCTAGAATCGACACCAGTGTCGATTTGATTTGCAGATTAAGCTAACTACCTATAAAGACTGACTTGCTTCACTTGACTGACCGAGCGACTGAGCGAGATGGAATGGACCGAAGAATATTTTTTTAAGTGGGCTTTTGACTAAGGGGTCGGAATCGGACTCATTGAATGAACACAGTTCAGTGGGCCCGAATCTGGCTTGATTCTCTAAGCCTAATAAAATTTAATTTGACAACAGTCTATCCTTGTTATGCTCTACACAGAATGAGAAAGAGAGAGTGTTGATCGCGACTTTTTACAGATTAAAAGTTTATGAAGTGGTTTTATTTTTATATAAAAAAAACCGGCTAAGTGCGAGTCGGACTCGCGCATCGAGGATTCAATTCTGTAAACCTAAAATTAAATTTGTAAATATTCTTTATACGGAATGAAAAGGAGGGACTGATCGTAAATTTAGTTTTAACTTTAGAGAATCACGGCCGAATCGACACCGTTGTTGTCAAATTCAAGTTTAGAGAATCTTGTCAGAATCGACACCAGTGGCTGCCACACTGCCAGTAAAAATGCTGACACTGGTGTCGATTCTGGCGTGATTCTCTAAAGCTAAACTTAAATTTGACAACAGTGCATCCCTGTCATTCTCTATGCACAATGAAAAGGAGAGACTTATGTTAAATATAGTTTTAAGTTTAGAGAATCACGCCAGAATTGACACCAGTGTCTGTCTATTCGTCCATGAAATTGGCATGGTCTCAGTATGGATATACGGAACAACCGGATTGAACAAATTTATTCCAGGCTATGTAATAATAAATCAAAAATAACAATATTTTTTTAATTACACGAAAATTTTGTTTCCACATCTACTACAGTATCAATAATTCAAAGAGCTACAACTAAAACTGAAACAATAAAAATAAAAAATAGAGCACCATTACTAGCAGATGCAGCACCTACAGTTAATTTATGTATATGTTCACGTAGGGCAGGTTTAATAGGAAATGTAGGAAGAGAACTTTGTTCTTGTTCCTCATTCTTCCGAATCCTCTCATCTAACCAAGATTTAAAAGCAAAAGTCGGTATAATGTCTGCCATATTTTTGTTAATAGCATAGGTGGAAGATATTTCTTTACTACAATCGTCCTGACCCTTTACTACAATACCAATTAGTTCATTATTGACTATAACAGGTCCACCGGTGTCTTTAAAACAAGTCAAAACTTTGGTATCAACACAGTCGAAATAAGCATGCATTAACTCTGCGAGTTCATAGTGTGACCGGTGCTCCATACCAACATACTGTAGTTCCTTTGGTTGACCGACTTCAGCATTCAACCCAAATCCTATACCTTCCAGATCTATTACACTGCTGAGGCTGGTCATATTACTCAATCTAACTTTAGAAGCTACAGAATTATTGTATTTTTCTGTATAAATAAGACCAACATTCTTTTCAGTTTCACTACCTGTGAAAGTCGGATATTTTTCAGATTTCGTTACACGAAGAACAAAAGAATTATCATCCTTTTTGTCTTTAGTGGTATTGAGTAGTACATAGCTTGCAGGCGGCTGCGTGCATTTCGCAGTGGTCAATATTAATCCATTTGAAACTATGGAACCAGAGCACAAATATTCATTTTGCGGAGACATAATAGCTGCCATGAAAGGAAACTGCCCGTGTTTTGCTGCAGTAATTTCGTGCATTTGACTATTATGTCTTCTCGTGCAAGTGATATTATTTGTTTCAGTGTCGGTGGGTATGTCCAGTGATTCAGCGTTGCCATCATCATTTTCACCGTTATCTTCCCTGTTGTCGTTTTCAACGCTTTTTTTCACATTATCACAATTACTAATATCAACTAACTGGTAAATAAAAAAAAACAATAGGAAAATACGCAAAATACAGTATTGACTCTTCATCATAAAAATTATATCAGTCAAGAAGAAAATTTGCAAGTTCTATTTTCAGTTTTTTTATTTTTTTCTGATATAGAGTTGGTGCCAGTCGCTTTTATCAAAAATAGGTCCGAATACTTTTTGAAAGAACCATTACACACCAGAGCAGATAGAGTAAATTAATGGTTAAATGGTTTTAATTAATGGTTAGAAAAGAATCGAAATCGCAAAATACAAAGAACGATGGGGATGGCGACGTTTTAGCCGAGAAAGCCTTTTAATAGTATTTCTTCTTCTTCATTTTTTAATTTTAATAGTATTTAACCCAGGGTGAACTTGCCCTTTATACTTTTTAATTTAACTATTCCGCAAGACGTGAGATAATTTGTAAATTGGATTTCTGTTTAATCGAATTTTTTGTAATTGTATGGATATTAAAAGGAGTTAGAAAATAGTGATTTTGAAAAATAGAAGAATGGCGGTCGTCTGATATTGAGTTTTTAGTGTAGGTATTCATGGCATAGTCTAGTGTAAACTTGTTCTGAGGCTCACTGAATGAACATGATACTGCAGAATAGCGGGAGGGGTGATAAAAGCTACAATTTTCAGCAATAGTAGAAAGTCCACTTTGCTCTCTTTTCTTCTCTTCGCAAGCAGTACGAAGGCCGCTACATCTGCGGCCTGTATCGTTCAGCAGTTATTTTAGGTAAGTAAATGTGTGTAATCATAAATTAAAATCCATAATATAGTCACTATGTTATGAAATCCCGTGGGAACTGAGCGACGGGCATGAAGTGCCACCACGCCCCGGCAAATTTTCGCAAAATATACCAATTTATCCTGAATTTAAATTATTAACATAAGGCTCAACTATTTCAGCCTAGGTTAGAATATTATTTACATTTAGTACGGTTAGAACTATACACATGGGTTGCAATGTGTCGACAGCATTCTCATTATAACCGTACTAAATGTATTAAACCGATAGCTCTCTGACGCGTCACAACACAACACGATAGATAAGTTTAGTTCTGCCATGAGTACACACATAAACCCTAAATCTGACCGAAATTTGCGCCTGTGGGGTTAAAGCTTTAAAAGGGAGTGCGCATGGCGACAGTATAGTTCCAGACCTTAACCTGTCCAAAAGGACAAAAATATATTAAAAATGATTTTTGAGTTTTTGGCGGGACTCGATGAAGTGCGGTTGGAGCCTTATTTTAATTATTCTTAAATTCATAGTGGATATTGTGAAATAAAATTGGTGAAATTTTGTGTTACAACCGTCTGCGCAACTGAAAAATTGGTGGAATCTTTAAAATATACGCTATTTCCGTCATGTGGACGTGAGAACTTTGTTGTAGTGTTGAGTACCTCACAGAAGCTTATCGAAAAAACTAACTCGTTACATTTCGTGCCAAACACTCCAAGAAAAATTAGGATGCGTCACACCGATATTCTAATGTAAAAAACGAAGATTAATAGAACTAAAGTACAGACTGTATGGGCTCTTTGCCTGTACTCTTTGCCTCTTGATATGGGAGAATAAATATATTTTTTTTACTTTGACAGTTTAGTGTCAGAATTAGGTCAGCCAGACAGAATCTGTGGACAGAATTTTGCTTCGAACTTCGAAGTTTTCGAAGTAATTTCCGATTTTACGTGAGTTGGCTAATAAAGACTTCTAATCTAGACTGTTGTTACTCCTCATAATATAGAATTCAAATATGTCGAAAAAGAAAGGCACAAAGAAAAGTCAAGATTATGAAGAAGAATTTGAAGAAAAGAAAGTCAATGATACACACGATATAACCTCTAAAACAAGAGGTAAAAATAAAAAAAAAGGTAAAGGAAATGCTGGGGATTGGAGTGATAGCGATGAAGGGGTACCGAAAAAATCGTTTAAAGCTGAGGAAGACGACATACCAAAGCCAGCAGCTAAGAAGTCACAGAAAAAAGGTTTTGTTGATATTATGCATGAACTACTCAGATCAAATTTTGTAGTGTTGGCATGTTGAGCGAATAAGAATTATGTATATTTTGCAGGGAAGTCTAAAAAAAAGGGTGCAGAGTTGTCAGAAGATGAGGAAGATGATAACAAGAGTATAATAAGTAGTACTACTACAAGTACTGCATCAAAGTTCACCTCGAAAGTGAATAAAAAGAAAAAGGGTAGGTTAGCCAGTTTTAGTATATACCTTAACTAGCATTGGATATGGTCACAGTAGATCTGCGGCAGTCTGGGTCTAATCTGGAGCCTCGACAACGATGAATTCAAATTGATATGGTTATTTGCAATATGTCAAATTACTAGGTACTTGTAAAATTCTAGACAATAGGGGTCTTAGGCAATACTCAATTTAAAGAAAGTACCACCTTATATATTTTTAAATTGGTTGAACTACACTAATATAGTACCTTACTGCAGCAGCCAGCAAAAGAGGAATTGAAAACTAAGCATTAATGGACTTATGTATGTGTGCCTGGGCTTCGCTTTGGCCCACATTTACATGTTCATCTATCAATGCATAGTTGTGGCCTAGGCTTGTATAGTATGTTTCTCAAATAATACACAGAAATTAAAACTAGGTAGTACCTAGCCAGAACTTCCAAAATTCTGTAAAAAACAAAGATGAACAACAAAACAATTTTCCCATGATAATGTTCATTTGTTTTTCTTCATAAACAGCTTTCTCTTTCAAAATCGAGTTCGAAATTTAATATTATAATTGATAAGTTACCTCCTTAGTTGCCATTTTCAGAGTAAAAGATCATTTCATTTTTAAATTACATGACAGATATAAGTTTACTATGTAATTCATTTGGCCGCTAAATACAATTGATATGGATTTCTATAAAACTTTTGCCTGCCACTGCTAACATGTCCATGGCCAGTACAGCAATTATGATTTATCTCGAAGAAAGTTGTCAAAATAATGCTCACATTTCCAAGCATGATTGAATAAAAAATATTTTTCTAATCTTCAAGTCTCATGATGAAAAAAGATCATTGTATGATATGTGTATCTAGCAATATTTTATGTTTATATACTATTCCTTTCATATAAGTACATTATCTTTTTCAACATAACCAGTGGAACCAATCTAGTTCTCGTTTTACACCCTATTTTATATTTAAAAAAGGATAGTTAAATTTTAAATGCATATTTTTTATACCAACTTTATTTTAACTTTTTTAGGCAAAGGCAAGAAAGATGATGATTGGTCAGATGGAGGTAGTGATATAGAATTAAAAGACGTATCTGAGGATGAGATTGTGAAGCCAGTTTCTAAAAAGAAAAGTTAGTATAAACAAAAATGTTTTTTTATTATTATATATAACGTTAGCATGAAACTGCTAGATTTATTAATCATAAACAAGTTTTTTGTAAATTATATTATTTTCCGTACTACTGGGTATAATATGATGATAGTTTTATAATTATTATATTCATTGAATCCAATGTTTACCAAAGCTTTTAGATCAATATTTTTGCAAATAATGAGCTTTATTCTGGCATGATTTTCTAAAATTATTTTTTATGATCTGCTGAAATGCTTGATGTATGCCTGGTCTACTGGGAGAAACAAGACGTGAGTATAGTAGGATATAACATATCGTTCGTAAAACAAATAATGCTCCAGCACCTGTTACAAATTCACTTTTAGATCTCTAACTGTTGCTTGGAGCACTGGTAGATTATTTCATTACTATGTAAGATGTGATCATGTTAGTCCACAACCAGATTCTACTGAGGGCCTGATGCCCCAGAGCCTATGCAATGCAGAATTGAACCTCTCACACTGAGTTCCCAATGGATTTCTAAACCTAAATTTGAATTTACCGTACTATATTCTTTCCATCGCTCTAGAATGCATGATAGTTTTATGTTAATTGAAACATGCCAGAATTAGGCTTACTACCTAGTTTATTACTACATTATTTTCTATAATTTTTAAATTTTAGTACCCAATTATTGTTTTTGTATGTATTTAGCCAAAAGTAAAAAGAAAAATATTGCTAGTGATTCATCTGGTGAAGAAGAACCAGAAGATCCAAAGCCTGTGGTTAGTAATGAATCCAAAACTACAATTAAACCAGCAAGCAAATCGAAAAATAAAAAAGGTTAGTTAAATACAGTATTTGTTCCTTGATATGTTGACTTTCTTTGAGCTTTGTTAAGCATAAAGCGACCAGTGGACATTTTTGAAGCAAGCAAAAATTGTTCTATAAACCAATGTTAAAGTTTGATTCTGTTAGATCTTTAAAATTACCACTGGTAGCTTTCTACTTAACACTGCTCAAGTATTAATATATTAAACTAAGGACGAAATATTATTAGCTGATTAATATCCTGCTGAAAATGTAATTCTACATAGGGTCAGTTCGCCTGTTCGCGTCCATTTAGTGCAGTTGGAAAGTTTGACGGTGATAATAAAAATATCGCAGCACTTATTTCGATAATAAAAATATCGCAGCACTAAACTTTATTAATTAAAATTAATAAATGAAAAATTTATGTAATCTGTTTATTATATAGTCTATTTCAAGATTAACTTTCAGTTTTGTTCGAAACATCTATTGTTTTTTATTTAAATGGATAAACTTCAGATTTTTCAGGCGTTTTACCCACTTTGCGTCCCCAAATTCCAAATTGCGTCCACCCGTGGACCATTTAGCGTCCACCACCTTCGAAAAGGAATATAGGGGTGATATTTTTAAGAATTTGTATAGAAAGATTGTACCTATTTTAACAATTTCTTTATTTTAGAATATAAATATTAAAACCAACATTATTATCATTAAAATCATCACCTTTAAAAATAAAAAATATTCTTCTCAATATTGATTTAATTCAAAAATTATATAAGTAGTAGGTAAATAATGATTGCACCTTTAAGAATAAACAGTAATCAGTTCTGTTAATTTTACCCTAAAATCACAAGGTATGTTTTTTTCATTGTCGTCTTCTACATCTGAAATTAGTATATTCAGAAAAATTTCTTTCTTAAATTCCTGATTTACCATTTCCTGTGTGACTTCTTGAAGAGCATGTTTCTTTTTCTTTCGTTTTGGAGCAGTTTAACGAAGCGTTTGAGAGTGTTTTAAACACTGTTCTTGTTTCTCTATTCGTTCTAACTTTGTTTTTCGTATGGCTTCCTGCTTTTCGTTCTTGATCTGCTCTTTATCTTCTTAATACTTACCCCATGTAGCAGAAGATATGGTTGCTAGAGTTCTTTGATTATCTATTCGTGCTTTGTTAGAAATTTCGGGTAGCATCAGGTGGTGTCTGGTCCCGGTTTCTTTACTTTATTTGGTCTGCGCCCACTGATTTTGTACAATATTGTGGTCTTGGGAATAGCATATTCTTTGCATATGTGTCTTATTGATTTATTCTTTTCTCGAATTTCATTTACCGCTTTCTTTAAATCATCTTCTGTGTATATTCTCTTTTCCTTCTACTTTCTTGTCTCCGAAGAACTCATCTCAAATAGAAAAAAATAAGAATGAAACAAATTAAGTATTTGATTGATTGAAATTACTCATTTCATTTAAAAATAGCATTAAAACACGTAGTATTAATAAAAATTTGTAATAATAATAATCAATACCTATATTTTAAATTATAATTAATTAATTGTATTTAACGAAAATAGTGGACGCAATTTGGTTTATTATTATCCCCTGTAGGTATAGTTTGCGTCCATTGCGGACGCAAATTGGAAGTTTTGTAATTTCGATGTAGTAATTCGCGTCCACCTTATTTTATTCATTAAGTATAAAAAACATAAGAAAATTTATAATTAATATTAATCCTTTCTTCACTATAAAAGTCTAGAAACTAGGCTATGTATCCTAAAATTAACATAAAAAAATTAAAACTTACAATCGAACGCGCCGCTGCACACTATTTTTTATCTAAACATCCCGCGTGTACGCACTCCCTTGAGGAATAACCCAGACTAACTATTTTTTTTAAACGGGACTGTTTGGCGCACTTACCTTTTGACCATGTGTTCGTGCCTCTTATATATTAAACTTATGTATTAGCGGTAATTACTTTTCGTTTGATTGGTGTGTCAGCTTACTTATTTTTGAGGATTTTTTAAGGGAGATCCGTAAAATGGACGCGAATTGGGCGATGGACGCGAACAGGCGAACTGACCCTATATGTTTGATATTTATTTCAATTTGTACTTAGGTAAAAATATTAAAGAAGATTGGCCTGATGATGAAAGTGACAAGGAAATTACAAAACAGATCTCTGATGATGATGATGATGATGAACTTCCTGAATTAGTTATCAAAAGTAAAGGTAATTATTATGTATTAAATTAAGTAAAATGTTTTATTAGTGCAGAAAAATATAATTAATAGAAATAGCCAAAAGGTCCAAGACAACTTGATCACAGAATGAATCTTACGACATTTGAATTACAGGCAAAAACAAGAAGAAAAACAATATTGATGATATAGAGGCTGAATTAAAAAAGTTTGAAATTAAAGATCCTGAACCAGTGGAAGTACCTAAGAAATCAAAGGTTTGTAATATATTTTAACAAAACATATTATAATAATAAATTGTATTTTTATTTATGAATTAATATTTTTTTTACATGAAATTTTACATTTCGTGCTATTATTTATCCATTTTTTTTATAATGAATATTTGAACACAAATTCTGTAAAAAGACAACAGTTTACACCAAAACTTAGTATCAAAATTATCTTGTGAATAAAGAAATACTTTCAGTTGCGTTTATAATTCATAGTTAAAAGTTTAGATTAAAACAAAAAGGGAAGATACGGCACACGCGGCTCAAAAGTGATCCGCTTAAATTATGGTGCATGACCACAATTCGCTTTAGTCACAATTGGACATCCAAACAGGGTGCACTCAATATAACAATATTGCGTATATTCTGTGTTATAAAGATAAAATAATGCCTTCAATGCTTTTATAAGGAACACAAATAGTTTGAGGAGCTCGATGGCGCCAGTGGCTAGCTCGTTCGGCTGCGGCCGTTGAAGTTGAGCAACTTTCGCAGTGGTCGGTCATTGGGTGACCAAAAATTTACTATCTCGAGCTCCTCCGTGCTTCGGAAGGCACGTTAAGCCGTTGGTCCCGGCTGTATCTGCAGTCGTTAGCTCCCACCAACCCGCACTGGCCCGCGTGGTGGGTCATGACCCATCCTAAACCATCCATAGGGAAGGCCTGTGCCCCAGCAGTGGGGACATTAATAGGCTGATGATGATGATGATGATGATGACAAATAGTTCAAGATCAAATAACAAATGCCACGGCAATACCTTTCATGCATAAAACTGTAAAAACATTATTAGTTATTTATATTATTTATTATAAAGAAAAGGACAACAATACAACTCGGCTATCTGTAGAGAGAGAAAAGAAAACGCAGTCGGCTGCAAAACGACGCGGACTCGCGCCGTTTCGCTCGCGCTGCGTTGAAACGTACAATTCTGATTCGATCGCTTGATTGAATGTTTATTTACAGAAGTGTGCGTGCGTCAGTTGCTTATGTAGTTGAGTTGGATCATATATTATTTGATGCAAGTATGAGCGTACCGTATCTTCCCTTTTTGTTTTAATTTAAAATTAAAGGGGATGATATTTTGTATGGAAAACAGATTCCTTTTCACATTTTTATTGCGTCTAACTGTTAACTACATAGTAATATGACAATTAGGCCTGATAAAAACGAGCGATACGTCATATCGCGTTGCGCATGCTAGGGGGGCTGATTTCTTACTTACTGATAACAGAGCAGAATAGAATTTAATTCACAAAATTTTGTTACAGTATACCGTGGCTGTGGTTGTTAGTAGACATAAACCCTCTTAGCTATTTCCCACACTATATTTTAAAGATAATTTAAATAATAACAACTATTTGATAACTTATTTTTTTTTTGTAGATTAGTGATACCTTCTGTAAGGTAGAGGTTACTCGACGACCTCCGTGGCCGAGTGGTTTGTACGCCGGGTTTCATGGTGTCGCCGACTCGAGAGGTCCCGGGTTCAAATCCCGGTGGGAGCAGATGTTTGTGTGATAAATACTAGCATTTGTACTGCAGTCATGGATGTTTAATATGTATTTCTATAAAAATATACTTATATACTAGCTGACCCAGCGAACTTCGTACCGCCCTAAAAAAATAGGGGTTGTCCAGCGGACAAAATTGTGAATCTAAACCATTCTCAGATCCCCTTGAACACACACAAAAAATTTCATCAAAATCGGTCCAGTAGTTTAAGAGAAGTTCAGTGACATACACACTCACAGAAGAATTATATATATAAAGATGTACAGTATATGTATTCTATCCGTTACCCTAGTATCCCATAACACAAGCCTTATAGTGCTTACTTTGGGGCTAGGCTAATTGGTGTGAGTGTTGGAAATATTTATTTATTTATTTCTATTTACTTGCCTAGAGTATTTCTTCTTAATTTAGGCTAGAAATCTGCTGTCCAATCCTTGAAATTCTTCAGTGAAATTTCATTTATTTATCCAACAGGTTATAGTCAAATTCAATGCTCAGTTAAATGGAAAAATAGGAGGTAATTTTAATGAGATTTTTCTTTTTAGGACAAAAAGAAAAGTAGTAAAAAGGATGATTCTGAAGAGGGTAATGCAGCTGGTGATGAAGCATCAACAGAAGCAGAAGATAAGGTAGGTATCAAATGTTTTGATCTCTCAACTATATTTTTCAGAGTTTTAATAGTAAAGTACTAAATTATAAAATAATAAAAATAAGGTTATTATTACAGTAGAAGTATGTGAAATGAAATATAGATTTATGTGATAATTATTTACTTTAAAAGTGTCTGAGGCCGTGATAAACTTGTTTCTTATTTGCTGGATGGTAAATTTTTATAAATTCTTCTATGGAAGGTGCCTGAAATTGCTGATAGGGAATCTGCTGAGCCAGCTGAGAAGAAACTTAGTCATAAAGAAAAGAAGAAATTGAAGAAACAGCAAGAGTATGAGAAGCAAGTGGAATTGTTAACCAAAAAGGGAGGACAGGGCCATAGCGAGTTGGATGCAAACTTCACTGTCAGCCAGGCTCAGAAATCGGCAGGTATTAATATGCCATAGACTATATTAAAGTGTTAGTTTTGTTCCATGTAGGTAAATATCTGCTTTTCTTATAATGCTTTGAAAACTTTTTTATGTTAAAAGGGTGGCGAACAAGCAGATGGCCCGCCTTTTTTTTTAAACCCCGCACTGATTGAACCATAGAGGTATAAGAATAGAGTAGGGGAGATATAGCCTATACTACAAGTGGAAGTGTCCCTCTAATAGAAAGAGAAAGAAGATGAGAGACCGCTAGCTTTCTCTCTCTAATCATGCATGCACATTGGCAACCGTAAGCATCTTACTATTTCAATGTGATGCCATTGGATCCTATGCGTCACAAGAGAGAGAGATAGCTAGCGGTCTCTTATCTTCTTTCTCTTTTTACTAGATGGACACTTTTAGAGCCGCCTTCCCCTCTCTATTCTTTACCTCTATGGATTGAACACGACTACGGGTCCCCGGATTGGGAGTCACCGCATGAGCAGATGGTCCGCCTGATGGTAAACTGCACCATAGCCTATAGACGCAATATCAAAAATATAGTTGTGCATGCAATGTGCGTAATTGAACTACTCCGAAACGGCACGCCCAATTTTCGTGAAATTTTATATGCATATTCAGTAGATCTGAGAATCGGATAACATCTATTTTTCATCCCCCTATATGTTAAGGGTGGTCCAAACCTTAAATTGGTTTTATTGGACATTTTATTTTTATTTTAGATGATACATCATACAAAAATACATACAAGCCTTACTTTCTAGTTTAGTTTTTGCACCCTTCTACCACGAACCCCTATTTTTTTATAGCGCTACGAAGTTCGCTGGGACAGCTAGTAACCTGTATTATTTATTAGTCCAGTAATATTATTTATTTTTTAAATACTTATCCATTTACTAGGTCAAATGGCTGCCCTCGAAAACGCGGTCGATATCAAGGTGGAGAACTTTTCGATCAGTGCCAAAGGCAAGGATTTGTTCGTGAATGCGAATTTGCTGGTTGCAAATGGGCGCCGCTACGGTTTGGTGGGGCCAAACGGCCATGGAAAAACGACACTTTTAAGGCATTTGGCACAAAGGGCATTCCCTCTACCGCCGCATATAGATATTCTCCTTTGCGAACAAGAAGTCACCGCAACTGATATGAGCGCCGTTGATACGCTCCTAGAATCGGACGTGAAGAGAACCGGTAAGCTGATTCGTCCATTCATAACGTGATGTTTTTTTTGGCATTTTTTAACCCCTTCCTTCCCATTGGTGATACGTGGTGAGGTGTAGGATTACCCCCCTCCCCCTGCCTATATCACGTGTATTTTTTACTACCTAAAATAAATCTTATTTTTTTAATATTTATAAAATACAGGTATTAATAAGTATCATCTGATTTTATCATAGAAAATTAAAGGCTATATACCAATATTAACTAACTTAGTTATTATGACAGAAACTTTGCAGGTTGTTTTTGACTGACATAAAAATAATAAAAAAATAAGAAATGCGAAAAGCTTTTTTGTACTAATACATGAACATTATTGAATGTTCAGTATCATCGGACCACGGAAATACACGTGATATATTACTACCCCTCCCCCCCTCCCCTCTTGTGATATTTCGTGATTTTTAGGGACCCCCCCCCGCCCCCTTACGAGCCTCACGTGATTAATGGACAGTCCCAAATCTAATAAAGGCCTCATTCTAACCTAAAACTAATTTTGATGTAAGTCCTTATTATTCTCTACCTACAGGAAATTAAAAGGAGAAACTGATGTCAAATTTAGTTTTTAAGTTTAGGGAGTCGTGTCAGCATCAATCTTTATGTCCATTTTAATTTAAATGTTTTTGTTTTTAGAACTTCTGAATGAGTGCAAGAAACTTGAGGCTGAAATTGAAAATGGAAGCTTGAACAAACAGGACCGGTTGAATGAGGTATGTATATACAGTGGAGGTCATATAATTAGAAACACTTCGTATGAATAAAAAAAAGTATATCTTCAACATACAACAGTTCGTAAAAAATATACCCATTCAATAATTAATAATCATGCAATAATATAGCCAGTCAAATAAAAAACTCATTGAATGCTTAACATATAAAACATATCTTACTTTTAATTACAAGATGTTAATAATCTTACACATGTAGGAGTATATTTTCTGTTACTGTCCGCTTGGACGCCTAATTAGAAACATTTAAAAAAATAATCCATAGCTCATTATTTTTTTGATATTGGAGAATAATATTTCTTTCATGGCTTTTTCTATTATTTTGGGGGCAATTAAAAATTTAATCTGAATTTTATTCTGATCAAAATGGGCAAGAAATAAACATGTGACGCGTCAACTAGGCAAATAATTGTTAATTTATATATAAAATTCAAAATTTAATATCGTTTATTCAGTCTAGGCTGTTACAAGCACTTGTGAATGTCGAAAAGCTACGCCATCGGTTCGCAAATCTACGGCGGGAGACCTTGTACTGAGAATAACCGGCAAGAAACTCAGCAAGGGCTGTTTTTTTTTCACCCTGTATTATATACAGAGTTGTCAATTTGAAAAATGACTTCAATATGAGATAACTCATGAAGTCACTTTCCATTACAAATGTAAATGATAAAACAATTATGACTATAAAATAAAAAAAATATAAAAAACTGATGACCCGAGGAACATCTCGTCAAGACTGATACGCCGAAGATTAGTGGAAGCTAAATTGTTTGGAAGAATCGCTCGAAAGGTACCGAGAGAAGCGATTAATATTCGCTAAAATATGTTAATTGGACGGTACGAGAATGGAAAAACGTGTTATTTTCATATGAAACAAAATTAAATATGGCCTGTAAACAATGCTTTTAATTATAAATAAATACATTAAAGTTTTGGGGTGTTTTTCCGGATGTGGAGTTGGACCCGTTCGGAAGATTGAAGTTTCAATGGATTAATGGCAATACAAAAATATCTTAGAGCTCACAATGATTCCCTACTCGGACGATCATTTGCCTGTAATCTGGATCTTTCAGCATGACAATGACCCTAAACACATGGCCAATAGCGTCAAACGTTTCCTTAGCGAATAGCGTATATCCATTTAAGACTGGCCAGCAAATAGTCCGGAATTAATCCCGATAGAAAATCTCTGATTTATTGTATAAAAGAAAGTCTCAAACAAACGTAACACCAGTCAAAACGAACTATATGAAGCATTTGTTGAAGCATGGAATTCAATCCCCCTAGAAAAAAATATGAAATTGATTGAATCAATGCCACGTCGTTGCAGTGCTTATTGGAAATAAGGGATACGCCACTAAATATTAATTATAACTATTGTTAGACTGTGGATAGTAGCTATTTCGTAAATAACAATACTAATTACTAATCCTAGAAAAAATATTGTTTTTTATCCTTTTTTGTTGTTGTTTCTAATTAGTTGACCATTATTGTTCATACCTGAAAACTGATTTAAACGTTTGTCTGTAATGCAATATGGAAACTGCACTTGTGGAATGGGATTTATATTGTTTTTCTAATAAATGATAAATCGTTGAACATACTGTTGTCCTATTTATTGTTTAATTTCAAAATAAAACGATTGCGTTGAAGTATTTTACATAATGCCAAGGACCGTTGGTCGTGTTTCTAATTATACGACCACCACTATATTATGTTTTATAGGATTTCTTAGGCTGCAAGGCTCTTTCAAATATTTAATACTTGTAAAGGTATTCATTTGACATAGCGGGTTACCTACAATGCGAAGAGATAGCGCTGCTTTGTAGCCTAAGATATACTATAGAAAATTCGACACGGCCGTCAGGGCCGTGGTAGCATAATGGTCAGTGCTTTCGCCCGGATAGCGAGCTGGGTTCGAGCTGTCCCTTCTGCTGCCTGGTCCGCGTGGATTTTTTTTGTAGTAAATTTTTCTTTTGATTTAGTCTGTAGTTTGGGAAAACAATATTTCACGCAGACGATGTTCCACTACCTATCTTTATAAAAAAATATTTTCATATTTTTTTTTTACAATTGAATGTTTACATTTTAAGGTATACGCTGAATTAAAAGCAATAGGCGCAGACTCGGCAGAACCGCGAGCACGAAGAATTCTAGCCGGTCTCGGCTTCAGCAAAGAAATGCAAGATCGGGCTACAAAGAACTTTTCTGGTGGTTGGCGTATGAGAGTATCATTGGCTAGGTTAGATACTTTATATGCGCCTCAATTGCACTACTAATTTCATTTCTTATATCTTAATATTGTGTATAAGTACTTTACCTAGAATTAACACTAGTGATACATTAAATTCAATAAAATACTATTAAGTCCATCAGTTAATCAAAAAATAATAAATTGTGTCAATCAACCAAAAAATTACAAAGATAAAGCACGTCTTCGTTTGGGAGTGGGGGCTCGTGACGTCACGTCTAAGTAAAAAATTTACTATTACATGAGAAAATAAAAAAAATTGTCAATCAACCAAAAACTGACAAAGATAATGCACGTCAACGTTTGGGATATGGGGCTCGTGACGTCACTTCTTAGTAAAAGTTTTACTATTTATTAGGTACATGACAAAATAAAAAAAAATGACAATCAACCAAAAATGACTTAAGATAAAGCACGTCAACTTTTGGGAGTGAGGGCTCGTGACGTCACTTCTAAGTATTTTTTTTACCATTACTGTGACGTCAGGTGACTTTCGAAATCAATATATCTCTGTAAAATTTTGATTATGTGAATAAAGAAAAAATAATTATGTGTCCAATACTTTTTGATAATCTAACTGATAGACAATGAAAATAAAATTGTTGTCATCCCTATTCTGGGTACTTTATTGTCTCTTAGTTAATTGTTAATGATTTTGTTTTCAGGGCCCTGTACATAGAACCTACTCTGCTTTTACTTGACGAGCCTACCAATCATTTAGATCTCAATGCCGTTATTTGGTTGGATAAGTGAGTAAGATATTGTTTCCTCATTGGGATTTATAGCTTCCATAAAATTTTAGATGCGTGACCCAGAATTTTAAATTCGACTTTTGTCGAATATATAATTACGAATAAATAATTACGGAATAATTCATTATAACGTTAAAAAAAATTGAGGAATATACATTTTTTAGTAAATTTGTGTGATGAATGCGAGCATTTGTACTCCAGTCATCGATGTTTAATAATTATGTATTTCTATATAAATATACTTATTTCCCATAACACAAGCATTACAGTGCTTACTTTGGGGATAGGCTAATTGGTGTGTGTTGGAAATATTTATTAATTATTATTATTTATCATGTTATTTTTTAATTATATAATTTGTTTTTATTTAAAGACGTTACGCATTTTTTCAGCTATCTACAGGGTTGGAAGAAGACCCTTTTAATAGTATCTCACGACCAATCTTTTTTGGACAACGTTTGCAATGAAATCATCCACTTAGATCAACAAAAACTATTCTATTATAAGGGTAACTATTCTATGTTCAAGAAAATGTACGCACAAAAGAGGAAAGAGATGATCAAAGAATATGAAAAGCAGGAGAAGAGATTGAAGGATCTGAAGGCGCACGGGCAGTCGAAGAAACAAGCAGTATGTATAAATGCTTCTTATGACAGAAATTACAAGTGACAAAATTGGTGTTTATAGAGATTTTTTTAACTTTTTAATCCGATTTTGTTATAACCGTAAAATTCGAGAATTGAAACTGAAAATTCTTTCTCCACTGTACAGACGTTATTGCTGAGTTACTTTTGCTATATTTTTAGCCCGTTAAAATAAAGTTTCACCCGTAAAGTATATCTATCTTTACAAACGTATATCCGTGTATGTCGGATTGACTCGCGGGTACTTATTTTGGCAACTCAAGCTCGCAAAAGACAAAGTACATGGTAGCAATCACGTTAATTACGTAAATGACTATAAATATCTGACTGCATGGAAGGGACTGTCTCGAAATTTTTATCATTAATATGAATATGTGACCCGCAGGAGAAAAAGCAGAAAGAAGCTCTGACTCGGAAGCAGGAAAAGAACAGGAAATCTCAGCGCGACGAGAACGAGGAGGATTCGCAGCCTGTAGCGTTGTTGCAGAAGCCCAAGGAGTACGTGGTCAAGTTCTCCTTCCCGGATCCACCGCCTTTACAGCCTCCAATCCTCGGATTACACAGTAAGTTCACCATATAAATAGATACTGGAATGGTCCCAGCGCGACAGCCTCCAATCCTCGGATTACACATTAAGTTCACCAAATAAATAGACATTAAGAATGATCCCAGCGCAACGAGAATAAAGAGGACTCGCAGCCTGTAACGTTGTTACAGAAGCCTAAGGAGTACATCGTCAAGTTCTCCTTTCCAGACCCGCCGCCTTTACAGATCGGAGTTCCGGATTCGGAAAAAAGCCTCGAGTGATTAAGTCTATTAATATTTTCCAGATGTCGATTTCAATTTCACCGGTCAGCTGCCGTTGTTCAAAGGCGTTGACTTCGGCATAGACTTGAGTTCCCGTATTGCCATAGTGGGGCCCAACGGTGTGGGCAAATCGACATTCCTGAAGCTTTTGGTCGGCGAGCTGAGCCCCATCCGTGGAGAGCTTATTAGGAACCATAGACTGGTGAGTAATAGTTATTTATGAAACTGTTGCATAATGAGAGGTATTAAAACACCAATGTGGGTTATAATATTATCACATGAGTGTTTTAATACATAATAATAAACAGAATTTATCTACACTCATGAAATGAATCCTCTACAAACGATTCTGACAGCATGGGGCGTTCTAAGAACTTAAAATTCATGAAAAGTTTCGGGGGTATGGCAGAGAAACCATAGAGGTATAGAATAGAGTAGGGGAGATAAATACTCTACTACAAGTGGAAGTGTTCCTCTAATAGAAACAGAAAGAAGATGACAGACCGATAGCTTTCTCTCTCTAATCATGCATGCGCATTGGCAACCGTAAGCATCTTAGTATTTCGATGTGATACCATTGGATGCCATGCGTCACAAGAGAGAGATAGCGTTCTCTCATCTCCTTTCTCTTTCTACTAGACGGACAATTTTAGAGCCGCCTTCCCCTCTCTATTCTTTACCTCTATGGATTGAACACGACTACGGGTCCCCGGATTGGGAGTCACCGCATGAGCAGATGGTCCGCCTGATGGTAAACTGCACCATAGCCTATAGACGCAATATCAAAAATATAGTTGTGCATGCAATGTGCGTAATTGAACTACTCCGAAACGGCACGCAACGGAATGACAATGTTCTTTTTTTGAAATTCATAATATCACGCATCGAGCAGTGAAAAATGTGAGTTATGAGTAAGCTTGGCGCGGAAGGGATTTAAAAATCGAAGGAGTGTTATTATTAAAGGACATGGCTAAGAAACTGCCCTTAACGTGAATCATTATTTCGCACTAGCCCAACACATAATAATATTTTATTAATTTTCATATTAATACGTGTTTATTATTCTCTTACAACTTTCGTGAAATAATCAAATTATAAAAGTATAAAAATTTACTTCATGTCTGTTTCAAAAGGCAAATGTTCCGTTTTACAAAAATAAAGGAATAATAAATGTCCACAAAAATATTTGTGTAATTATATCGAGATAAACATTATTAATTTCAAACTCCTAAAAACTGTGACATATTTGGCCCTAATTTTTATTATAACAAATCACTAAAGGCCTTAAATAAAATCTTTATTTTTGTGATCAAGCTGTAGACAAGGCTGTATGATAATTAATCTTTGATTTTTGCAAATGAACGGAATATAACTTCACAGACTCCCTGTCAGGCCGACGATAACTAATTATTTGTATTAATTTTAGTTTTAAATACTTTTTGTGAAGTGTTAATCAGAGAAACGGGAGGAAAGATTCTAAGAAAATGCGAAATTGATGGCTCTATAAATAATCTTTTATTAATGGTAACAAGGTAATGACGTAATAGGAATTTTCATAATTTTCAAGATTATGACTATCAAAAGTCTCTGAGCCGTTTTTCATGGAAATTATAAATATTCAGCCATTCAGCATTATATATTACTAAGTACAATGTTTGGTGTCGTGTGAGGCGGGTCGTTGCGTTCCCTAAAAAATGGTTGAGCGAAGCGATGGCTGGTTCATGCGTCATGCTCGTGAATGGGTGCTGCCAGCGGAGATGAGTCTGCTCTTGCTTCATTGGATACTATTAATCGTTGTAATAAACTTTAATCGTTCATTTTTTTTTGCCTAAACAGCAGGACACGGCATTCTTAAACTTTGTTAAACCAGTTTTTTATATAGTCATAATTTTTATATTATTTGCATTTGTAATGGAAAGTGACTTATGAGTTACCTCATATTGAAGTCATTTTTCAATTTGACGACTCTGTATACAATACAGGGAGAAAAAAACAGCCCTTGCTGAGTTTCTTGCCGGTTCCTCTCAGTACAAGGTCTCCCGCCGTAGATTTGTGAACCGATGGCGTAGCTTTTCGACATTCACAAGTGCTTGTAACAGCCTAGACTGAATAAATGATATTGAATTTTGAATTTTTTATACATTGCTAGGGCAGTCTCTCATACAAAATTTTACCATGTCCTTAAGTACAACATTCTTCGATCAACAATTCTATAGATAACGGGTCAGCGCGTAAAATCCGTCTCAGTAAATATAGCCCCACTTGAGGCGGGGGATCTTATTTTAAATTAGTGGGGTTGATACCAAATGAAGTAACTCCCTGGCTAATGACTGGTAAAAATATTTTATTTTGTGGGTCATAAGGTTGATTTCACATTTTCCTTTTTCCACCTTTATCGTTTTTTCCAAGTATCAGATAAAATTTATAAAAGGAACAAGAGTTCGTTTTATAAGATAAAAGGTGTTATGTGCGAAATAACATTTTGTTACTTGTAACCTCATTTCTTTGTGGGATAGTTGTTATTACTTTAAACTTAAACTGTTGTGAAACATTTATCTTTGTTTATTGGGAATCGAATGTAGCTGCGTAAGTTTAAACATACGCGGAAAGTTTTTAGCTTTGATTGTGTATACAACCCTTTAACTATAGATTTTTTTATTGATTTTCTAAGTACACACATGGATTATACGTAAAATATCTGCCAAACTATTACAATAGTTTGTCGACAGAGTTATCGTGGATAACGATTAATTACAAATTACTTAGAATGTGTTACTTATATTAACAAAACAAGTCAGTAGTTACTATTATAAAAATACATCATATTTATACACTGCAAACCTTTATATATGAATATATTTTATATGAGACTCCTGTGATATTCTCAAAAAAACTAATCTTTACGCGGACGAAGTCGCAGGTGGCCACTAGTAACATATTTAAGTGTTGAAGTATATTATGTTTGTTAATCAATTACGCAAAAATGGCTGAACGGATTTAGATGAAAACTGGCACTCATATAGTTTATGATCTATGATCGAAAAAACTATTATCAAACAGTTTCTTTTTAATTATGACATTGGATGTTTTAACGTTGGCAATAAGCTGACTGTTTTAGAATTTTTAATGGAGCTTTTCAAGCATAGTTGTGGATAAACAATATTATGCTACTAAATTTTAGGTTTAACATGCTTTAATTTACGACCCATCTAAGGTTGAATATTGGACAGCAAACAGTCAATTTAAGCAAACAGACATATTATTAGAGCTAATATTTTGACACATCACTTTCATAAATAAAAAAGTCCAACACGAAATGCTAGGCAATGATGCCCTTTGATAGGAAGTTAAAATTCAGAAGTTAGTTATGAATTTTAAAAATATTTTTACTTGATGGGTCAGTGATCATCGAGAGATTTAGACCTTATTGCAATGTAAATGTTCAAACCGCAATTTCATAACACATTGTTATTGCAATTATATTAAAAAAAGACATTGTTATTTCTTTCGAACGTTTATATTTGTGAAAGTTTGCACTTGCAATTGCAATTTGCTTTGTAGCAGATATCGGAGCTGACTTAGTTTCTTTTGATTAAAAGTTTTATTTATTTACTGTAAACATAACATTGTAAGTTATCTGCATTAACCTGGCAACTGAAAGAAGAGATAGGTTACAGCGGATTTGCCGCTCGAATTGGAACTCTCGTCTGGGGAAGTAACTGCCACCTTACAGAAGACCACAGTAAAATAGCTCTAACTTTTGGTGGTGTTATGTTTCTATCGGAGAGTAAGTTCCAGGGCTCCACGGGGTAGGGGATTGTGTCAGGATAGGCAATGGCGCGAGTGATATTTTTTGTATCGCAATCGGCTTTGGTGGCCTCTTCCCACAAGGCGGGCCATATGCTTGTTTGTCACCACTTGTTTTGACATAAAAATAAAAAAAAACCTGAATCCAATGATGTTTTCCAAGTAAAAGTTGTTTTCCTGACAGAAGATAGGTAGGTTCGACAAACACTCTGACAAACATTTGACAGCAGAAGAGTCACCCGTCGAGTACTTGCAACGCTTATTCGGGCTTTAGTACGAGAAGGCGCGCAAAGCTCTGGGCACTTTCGGCCTCGCTAACCACGCCCACACTATCAATAGCCTTGCAGTCTAAGTTACCCGAGCCAAGTTTTTGTTTTAAGCAAAATATTTATTTACTTACTATAAACAAAGTATTGTGACTGTTAAGCAGAGCGAGGCTGCGGAGCGGAAAAACGGAGAAAATTATATTTCTCCGTTTCTGCACTCTGCAGCCTCGCTATGCTCCAATGGACAGGTAGCCCAAGTTACCTGTAGCCTTGTAGCTAAAAATACATGAGCTGGGTTGATTTTTTTCGAGTAAAAGTTTGATTTTCTTTCCTGACAGAGGATAGGTAGGTTCGACCAGCACTCTGGCGAGCATTTGACAGCGGAAGAATCGCCCGTCGAATACTTGCAACGGTTGTTCGGCCTACAGTACGAAAAGGCGCGCAAAGCTCTGGGCACTTTCGGCCTCGCTAGTCACGCCCACACTATCAAGATGAAAGATCTCAGCGGTGGGCAGAAGGCCAGAGTAGCTTTGGCCGAACTAACACTGATGGCTCCCGATGTTGTCATATTGGTGAGTAGGAAAAGTTTCAACATAGAAAATAAATTCCTTATAGAATCTATGTTGTATGTACAGTAGGTACAGGTAACATATGATTATGTCTGAAATTCGTTAATATCTTTTAAATATAAATTTTTAATAGATATTTCAAATAAATAAGTTAATAATCTTACTATTAGAGTAGAATTGTAGGTTCTGGATAACTGCACTCGAGTTTTTTTACAACACTACATAAGGCCGACGCCGCACTGGTACGGAGATTGACGCGACGGCAATTTCGCGAAAACAAACTCATATAAACACATTTTGGTGGCGCACTGCAGACGTTTCTGCTTGTACTGTACCGTGACGTAGCATCACAGTCGCCGTACCACTGTGGCCTCGGCAACGATATTAAATATCCTAGTTACACCACGAGCGCTCAAAATGTGTCCCAATCAAGAAGTGCTTGAACTCCACTCAAGCACGTCGTAACATTTTACGAGCTTGCATTTCGAATTGTCAGAAGTCCTTGACGCATGCGTTTTATTTAAGACCTTATACAGTATGTATTAAAGGTTACTTTCATTGTTTAAATACGTGATCATCTTACGGAGCTCCGTGGATCGTTCAATGTACCTTTTGGACAGGTTTCGGGCACGATTTTGGGTACTAGGGTATTTAATATCGTTGGGCCTCGGCCTAAACGTAACAGACCGACAGTCTTTTTCGCCTTTATAACATAATCTATAAGTTACAGTAGTATACTAGTAACTTGTTCACAGGATGAGCCGACGAACAATTTAGACATAGAGAGTATAGACGCGCTCGCAGACGCTATCAACGACTACAAGGGCGGCGTGGTGATCGTCTCCCACGACGAGCGGCTCATACGAGAGACCGACTGCGCTCTGTACGTCATAGAGGACCAGACCATCAACGAGGTAAGGGTCGTCATCTGTCTACCCATCAACCACTACAAGGGCGGCGTGGTGATCGTCACCCACGACAAGCGGCACATACTAGAGACCGACTGCGCTCTGTACGTTATAGAGGACCAGACTATCAACGAGGTAATGATCGTCATCTGTGTACCCATCAACCACTAAAAGGACGGCGTGGTGATCGCCTCCCGCGACGAGCAGCTCATACGAGAGACCGACTGCGCCCTGTACGTCATAGAGGACCAGACTATCAACGAGGTAATGATCGTCATCTCTCTACCCATCAACCATTACAAGGGCGGCGTGGTGATCCCCTCCCACAATGAGCGGCTCAAACGAGAGACCGACTGCGCCCTGTTCGTTATAGAGGACCAGACTATCAACGAGGTAATGATCGTCATCTGTCTACCCATCAACCATTACAAGGACGGCGTGGTGATCCCCTCCCACAACGAGCGGCTCATACGAGAGACCGACTGCGCCCGGTACATCATAGAGTACCAGACCATTAACAGGGTAGGTGTAATATATTCCCCGGCAAATTTCTTAAGCATCGACCATAGACAAGGAACCCTGCGCAGTAGCAATTTTAAATACATAAAATGTCTGCTGCGCAAATTATTTTTCTGAGGTTTTGCTGAAGATTTTTTCCGCTTCCCACTATACTTATATGTAACGTGCCACTAGAAACAATTTTCAATAAATCATTGCAGAAAGTTCGCAAAACACACAGGAATATTCGCTGGTGAAAATTGTATTCTAGTATGTTTAAAGGATTAGTCTTTGAATGAGTAAAGAAATTGATTTGTTTGTACATTTTACTGATTTCGCATTATGCGCAGTTAAGTTAGCTGCGTTTGTGATATTATGTTTTTCTTACACTGCGCCTAACTTTATGCATAGGAAGTGTGAGGATGAAGGATTGGAACCTGGCCTCCAAGTTGTCACGTACTTAAAGTTTTCAGAGGCATTTCCTGCTGTGTACAATTTTTATAAGTTTTCCCAAAGGAAAACAGCATAGGTTTTCTTCCCTATTAATTACAAGGAGGCCCGTTAGTGGCTGTGGTGACTTAGGAATTCATGTTAAAATGATAACAATGCTTTTTTTCTTTTCTGACTGGACTAAATTATATATATTTATATTATATATGTATATATCTGATAGGAATATTATGTATGTATGGTACGTATAATATATAAAGTTATAGTTATTTTTTTTATCTCTTGTTTCTTTTATAACACCACTGACTCTAGTTTCTTTCAATCCTCTCCATTCAAAGGTTGACTGGAAGAAATCGCTTTTAGCGATAAATTGAATAACTGTGTTTATACCTAATGTATTTACCCCATTTATGTACTGTACTGTTTTCAATAAAGAATTGTGTATTGTATTGTATTGATAACAATATAATGTTCAGGTGGACGGCGACTTCGACGACTATCGTAAGGAATTGCTCGAGAGTTTGGGCGAGACGATCAACTCGCCATCTATCATCGCCAACGCTGCAGTTCTACAATAGATCTTACCGACCAAGAAATAATAATAAAAACAACACGATCACATTATCTCTGCATCTCGATTGAACGCGATCTGTGAAAGGTTTTAACGCCATGCATTAGTTTTCAAATATTCTTGATTTATTGTAATAATTTCTTTTTTATTGGTCGCAACTGACAGAAAATTGTGAAATGTTTAAGAAAGACGAATTTTGTGACTATTAGTCAGGAATTTATAATATGTACTGTACCTATTGTCTATCTCAATGAAAGAAATCTATACTGAAATAACTTCTCGCCCGTTTCACTATTGTAAGCGTGGTCGTAATCACGATGAGCCATCTGGGGAGGGGGCAGATATAGTAAGCCTTACGATTTTACCACCTAGCTTTATTCGTGGACTGCCTGGTTCATTAATTAGTAGGGCCTCAAATAGGGTATTTGACAGTATTAAAAATAAAGTGCCAATTGTTAGCATCTGTGTTTAGAATGAATATTGGCAAGGGTTTTTACTATTTTTACAAAAAAAATATTCATAATTTTACTAAAAACCCACGAAAAAGATAACAGTTTTCATATCTATTGTCACGTGACCCAAAACGCTTGGGATTGGCGGAGCCTAAAATGACGTCACCCGCAAGTAAACTTTCGGTCAAAGTGATATTACATAGTATCGTTTGACGTTTTAATAACAGTCGTGTAACGTCACACACTAGTAAGACGCCATATTGTCCAGAAAAACGTTTTCGCGGCAACTTGAAATGGAGTTTTTGATTTGGTTATTTTCACTGATTCATCATTCTGTTGTGTATAACAGAATGATGAATATCCACTTTTTACGGACTCCATAAACATTAGTCAATAACGTGAGATCGTTTACTAAAACTTGTCAAGTACCCTATTGCAGATTTTATTTAGTCATTCCATATCATATGTGATCTGCCTTGTGATCAGGGGGACAATCGCCTAACTACGGTAATGGTTATCGCTATCACATACGATTTCATTTTGTTATTTCTGACCGCCTAAGATTTTCAAATACCTCACACTCATTTTCTTAAAAAGCATGTTAACCTATTTTATTTGAAAGTAAGCTCGCCCGAATATACTTCTATTGTGCAACTATTGTTATTACCAATGCAAAAGAAAAAAATAGAGCGCGAGGCATTTGATAACCTTCGGCGGGCAGAAATAACAAAATGAAATCGTAAGCGACAGCCATAACAATCCCGTTAGATGATTGACCCCCTGGAGATCACGAGAGGTAAGACAGTGGGCTCCTTTTGTGGTAAGTGGTATTAAGCTAGGACAGAAAGGTCCAATATCGAAAAATAAAAGTGAGCAATACTGTTTGGTATTAAATCAATAGATATGACCGTGTTATAATGAACGCTGATATTTTTAACGGTACATCAGTAAAAGCTGTAGCAAAAAAATTATAATAGTTGCATTGTTCTATACATAAGGACGCGTTTCGCTTACAATCAAACAATTCCACCCCCGCGAACTATTGAGTTCATTAGTTCAAATACTGCTTTCGAACACGAGAATAAAACTTGAGTTAGAAAAGAGATATATATTTGTTTCAATATTAAGGACTAAACAATGGAGAATATATCAAGATCACATGGAGGTACTTAGTGGTAGGCCTACATTCTTATAACAACTTTTTTCAATAAATTCAGATTCGCTTAACTACTCAGATCCTGGGTTCGAATCTCGGTAGGGGCAAATCCTTGCATTTGCATGATGAATCATATTCTATCACTTGAAAATTTAAAAAATATACACTTCTGAATGGGTCTAAATGTCGATATCATTTTAGTAGGTCAAATAATAGGGTAAAGTTTTTACAATTTCAAGATTTTAATGGTGCGTAGGTATTTGTTAATTGAAATTTTGATGCAAGGGAGAAAAGTACTTCCATTTAAAATCATTGATCAATCTTATCTGAGCTTAATATTTGCACGATGTAATAAGAATACTCATTCTAATGTTTTTGAGGTTTTACTGTAGGTTTGATATTGATTGGTTGGTCGATTCGCGATCTAATAGGCCATGATCTCCCAAGTGGAAAATAATAATGTTAGTTTCAATTACAATATTGGAAACATTCACATTTTAAATGAGAGATTTTCATCGGCTTAACTTTTGCATATGCTTACAAAAAGTTTGGTTGTCACGTCGCGATTATATTTAAGATTTAAAAAAAAAACTATTTGTCTTTGTGATAAAGGTACAGTTCCAGCATTTTATGAACAGTATTCGGGTATAAAGTATATTTTTTACATGCTTAAACAAAATTTGGACCGTTGCAATTTGCCATTGCCCTTTAGAAAAAAATACGTGATTGTCAAAACAAAAACTGCTTACAAAGCGTTTATAAGTCGACTATTAATTAGGTACAATATTTATTTTAGTCCGTTCTCTGTGCCGAGTGAGTTTTTTAAATAATATTGACGGGGTTATATTTATTTTTTCAGTTTGTTTTAATATCGTAGTTCGCTGCGTTTCTCACTAGATGGTGCTCCTGAATATAAGTAGGTATAGGAAGCGGCCAACTTCTTGAGCAAAACCACAGACAAATAAACTTGCACTGTAGACGTTTTTTGTATTTTTTGTATGTAAAATTACTACTGCGCAGGATTTTATCTATGGTCGATGCTCAAGAAGTTTGCCTGGGTATATATGTAAATAAAACACACTACGCCTTGAATGGAAAATCAAATTTTGTACTAGACTTACAATAATATTGTTATCCATATAATGCATATTATAATATAAAATGCGAAAAGAGGTTTTTATCTTTATATTGATCCTACGTCCTTTTTCTTTGATTGCGTCTCTATTTTTGATTTAGTATTCGTTTCAATATGTAAATAGTATTTATTCAACAATGAATATCGTGTTCTCGTGTAATAAATTGTTTAATACTTCGTATTGGAATCATTTTATTGTGTGCTAAATAAAATAAAGCATTAAAAAATCCGTTTTGTCCCATTTTATCTTATTGTCCGCGTGTTGTACCCATTCTCATAAATGAAATTAACGTTTTAATATTTAGGGAATATAATTGAGTTTTAATAGAATTCTAGTTTATTACACCTAGTATTTATACAATAAATTTTTGTTACAAAACCATATACTGTTTCTTTTATTTAAACCTACCTATCTCTTGATTTAAACTATACTTCTGTTAAATGCTGAGAAATTTATTGCGCCCATTCTTCTCATGAGCTAAAAGAGGTCCTGCAAAGGGCTGGCAGGAAAAAATATTGGACAATTCAAAAGGTCTTTCAATAAGCCAATTTTAATAAAGTATAATTTCATTAAAATTCATTTCATATGCCAAGTCTGCTAAAGTATACATTCTTCATCCCTATTCCATCCATTGGAAAGATCTGTGTGTGAACCAGCAGTGGGGACATAATTAGGTCGATAATAATGATAGATGATACATGGTGATACATGATAGGTTCATGAAAGCTTCATGGAAAAGGTATATAAACTGTGACGAAATTATAAACTGTGTCGCTAGCAAGATCACATGGAGGTACTTAGTGGTAGGCCTACATTCTTATAACAACTTTTTTCAATAAATTCAGATTCGCTTAACTACTCAGATCCTGGGTTCGAATCTCGGTAGGGGCAAATCCTTGCATTTGCATGATGAATCATATTCTATTCGGAAAATTATTTTGTTATTTTAAAGTATCACTATATTTTTCAACTTTTAACTTCAAGACAGACGAAAAGAGCAATGTATTTAATGCTATCAAATTATACTGTATGGCGTGAGCAGTCACGCACGCACGATTTCTGGAATAATGGATTTCCAGACCGTAGGTACACCTACAAACTTTCATTCTCTTTTTCACTAAATATCTTTATTTTCGCTACAAAGTTTAGTCTGTTTGTAGATCTAAGGTTGTATTTTGTATCTACAAGATACAAAACCTACCAACAAATATTGTTACTTGTATCTAGCAAAATTCAAATAGTTTCTGTGGTTTGATTTAGGCGACAGAGTTACTTTCACATTTTGTGACATTAGTATGGATAATATCCAGCTAAAGTGTTTAATTTATCACATAATTTAGTAATTATGCATAATGATTTATTGAAGTATAATCCATGTCAGCGACTGCCCGGGGGCGCTTGGGGGGGTCCGCGCCCTCACTGCATAACCCAAATCAGATTTTATTCCTTGTGTCAGGGCGAGAGGCCCACGCTATGCAAACACTACAAGACGAAATTCAAGCTCGTAAAATTTTTCGACTTATTGCTATATGCGGAAGAATTTAGACCTTAGTTCTTTGACTCTACGCGCAATTCTGAACGCGCTGTTAGCAATATAGCAGGCACGGACCGCGAGGAAAAGAGACGGCTATATGACGACGTATAACCGACCATGCATTTGAATATCACAAATATTTTATATTAAATCAGTTTATAGTAAGTATTAGATCAAAATTTACTTCAAATGCGTTAAATTAACAAACAAAGACTAGATATCTGTCTAAAAAACCACACTTTTCGTACTCCAAGTATTATTTTCGCATTTTTCGCGGATCTCTGTGGCATCTTGACTTTGTAGCGGTCCGCGCGTGACTGTGAACCAAGAAGTGCTTGAGTGGAGTTCAAGCACTTCTTGATTGGGACACATTTTGAGCGCTCGTGGTGTATCTAGGATATTTAATATCGTTGGTAGCGATAGTCGATGTGGCACCTCTGTAAAGATCTCAACAAAGCCCATGTTTCAACCGAGTCAAAGGCTTTCTCATAGTCCACAAACGCTAAGTATAGTGGCAGGTTATATTCTTCAGTGTTTTGTGTATCCTGTCGCGACGTTTCGAAATGGTCCATGGTGCTGGTGTTAGTTCTTCGTGGGCAGTAAAGGCTGCTGTATCATCAGCAAATTTCATGGGAAGGTCTGAAGTAACAATAAGGTATAGGACCAAGCACTTTCCATGGGCACCACTGCAAGATCCCTGTAAAGTTTGATAATACATATCTTATTCTTGCTTGTATAAAATAAATCAATGAGTAGGCAGAGTTGGTTTCTTATTTTGTAAAATAAAGCTTCGTGCTAAACCAGACAAAAAAGCGAATAGCCATGTGAAGTGCTTCCATAATAAAGAAGATGAAAACTGATAAATTCGTATCAAAGATCTGGGAAATATCCAGGAATGGTGCGCAACAATATTTCTTGATTTGAAAGCTTCATGAATTTCTTCTATGAGTCTATGCACCTGTTTCATCGTGCGATGATACATTATAAAGCCAAATTGGTGGTCAGGTCAGAACTTAAAATTCTGCTATTACAGTGTTAAATCGCTTAAAAAACTATTTCCATTCTATAGGCTTTGAAAGAATGGGAAAGTAAGCAGAAGTGGTCTACAGGAAGACGCATCTTCGGGGGTTTTTTCCGGTTTGAGGAACATTTTTATTTGTGCTACGTAATATTTTTTTTTTATAATT